CAGAGTCATCTGGGCTGTCACTATATCTGCTTACATCATCATTGATTATAACCAGGGAATAGGTAAGATGAGCTGTACTTCAACAATCACTTTTAAGAGCACTAGCTGAGAGATTGTCAGAAAAATGGGTTAAGCCTTACAGCCTGGTAGTTAATTGGATCAGAACGAGACTGATTTGCTCAATTTTAAGGGCAACAAGTATGTGCCTGAGAAGATCTCGAAAAAAATGGAGATCTGCTCGAGAATTTGAAGATGGAGCAGGCATCCAACATATTTATTGATAGAATCAAAATATTTAGTAATATCTGTAAATTTAGATTTATTTGTCTTGTAATTATCTATATTAAACAGCATTGATACTTTTGAACAGTATGTAATTGAATCTTTTTTTAAGACTTTTTTATCGGCGACCTAACAATTTTCTCATTATTCTGTGCTAATCTCAGACAAATGTCACTGCCGAATAAATAACTATTCAAAACTAAATTAGTTTCAAAGAATTTGTGTTTATGAAAACTTGTTCTTGAAATATATATCATGTTGACTCCTTTTGGTATCTAATAAGATATGGGGTATATTTCTTTATTGTATACATACAGTATGTGTTGGTTTATTAATACCTAGCATCACTAACAGATTGTTCATGTTCTCAGGCAAGTGGGGTTCCATATTCAGACACAGAGCGTGGGCTCCACTAGGAAGACTGGTCTACTGCGCCTTCCTCATCCATACGATCCCCATGTTGTACACCGTCGGGCAGAGACGCACAGCTCCCTACCACAGCCGCATGCTTGCGGTAAACATAAAACCAATCTCTAGAGACTAATACCTTTAATAAATCTACTGTCTTTGGTTTATTATTTTTGTAATCAAAATAAGAAATGCTATACAGCTAAAAATTAGAAGGAGGTTTAAAATTGTAAACACAAAATTGAATTAGAGTTTTTACCACTAGGACAATAAACACTTCATTTTACTTTCTCCCCCTATACATACAAGAGGAAAGTTTTGTTTTTGTCTAAATTTTGGAGTTTGAGTTTTGGGTGGAAATATCCGTTTTGGGTCCTCCTGAACCTCAAAAAATTGTTTTCAAAGGGACATCTGTCTGTGTGGATGCTACTAGTCTGTCCGAGCTACTAGACCACGCCTGTGGTTCAATTTTGATAACATGTTTCATGTAACTACTAACATATGGCATTTCCAGGTGTTTTAATTTTTTTAAATTTTGATTTTGATAACAGTTAATTCAGATTTTCAACAAAACGGCCTAAACGATTTTGATGAAAATTTAGTATGTTAGTCCTTTTAACTCTCAACATAATGGTAAAACATCCATTGCTGTAAAAATTACAGTTCAAAAGATATTGCAACTTTTGTGATTCTCCCCATAATATCACAGATAATCCCACTCCTACGGCTTGCCCATGATAAAGGTTGTTGACAAACTAATGGGAGAAATTATGTGGCAGATTGATGATACCATTAATTTTTACAGGCTGTAGCTCTCCTGGGAGAAGTTTCCCTTGCCTTCTTCTTGGCTCTGTTCCTTAATTTGGCCTTTGAGTCTCCATTGCAGAGGGTTCAGAAGATGATATTAAAGAAATTAATGGGAGGTAAGTTACACACTTGACTATTCCTTTTCTTGGAAATTACAGATAAGTATTAATATTCATTAATTTATTTACAAATTATTCACAATAATTAGCCGAATCTGAAAACTGTTGGATCAAGTGCACACTAACTTTGTGTCGATAGACATGGCTGTCTCTTAAATTCACATTTACATTTTACCAGTTCAATGTACAAAGACTGTAACAATTTTCATATTTATGATGATATTGATGAAAAACCCTTATACCTATACCTTATACCCTTAAACCCGTATAAATATAATGTCTATACTGTATATAAATAGGCAAGCATGATTCTTGAAAACATTTTTTCTCAGCTTGTGTGTATCACAGGGAAACTCTACAGATACTGGCTCAAAAATAAGCACATCAAATGAATTTGAAAAAAAAATTACATTGGCTTTATGGGTTGCCATGCTGGTGGTGAAATAACCAACGAAATATTAACAGAAAATCAAAACAATTGGAAGAAAAATTCCAATCACATGGTTTGAGCCAGTGACGTCATTTGTATATTTTTATGATCCACACAGTTTCTGTTCTAATATCTGTGATTAACAGTTAAAATAATTCTAAGCTGTTTTCTCATGTGCTGTATTTAAGTCAACAGCTGATCTTATGCCTTTTTTTTTTATGATATAACCCAGTTACAAGAACAGTTTTAATCAATTAATTACCTTTTTGGTTTTTCTTGCCTTGAAGTTCTTGTTGGTTTTTTATACCTGATGCGCATTTCGGAGATCACACCATCACACCAGGATGGTGAACTCTGAAGATGCCACAAGCTGTGGCGAAATGCGCATCAGGTATAAAAAACCAACAAGAACTTCAAGGCAAGAAAAACCAAAAAGGTAATTAATTGATTATGCCTTTTTTTTATCCGTCAAATACTGCTTCCATAAGGATTACATTGAAACTTTAAGACCAGTTGGGTCGGATTCCTGGGAGAATTTTTAATGCCAGATTTTAGCACTCGCCGATACGGTCTTTATCACCATGTAAAATTTGAAAATGACTTCTAGGAGGAGTTTGCGTATTGACGAAATGCATTTAAAAGTCTACGTATAAGAGCTTTGCACATTCCGCTTAATTATGACAAATGATTGATTTTCAGCAAGATCTTATGTCAGCAATGTGTTTGTAATATTGAATTATGAAGTATGAGTACCTACTTTCTTGTCCCAAGTCAAGAGATACTAAACATATACAATATAAAATAAATCAAGAGAAAAAATTGAAACAACTACATAAAATCTTATTTTTCCAGGACCCCAGAAGGGTGCATTTGGTCAACAGAACTTAGCTCAAGTAACTGACAGCAGGCTGACCCTGACTAACGGGAGCTCCAAAACATCCATAGCTGACCTCCATGACACAGAGTCCAAGGTGGCCATCAACACAGAGAACCATCCTTACAGGAATCACACTGGGATCAACAATGGCAACGGCAGCTGCAGGGCTTAACAAAAATAAATCTTATTTCTGTAGAAACCTGTAACTATCAGTTTACGGTATTTATAATGCAAAATTTCCCAAGTCAATATCTATTATTTAATTTATTTAATATTTATCTTTCTCGATCTTTGTGGGGAAAACCCATTCTGCTCTTTTTCATGGTGGCAACAACCAACCATCGTGGCTTTTGAATGTACATACTTGTATTTTGGACGTGATCATCCACTAGATGAATTATTGTGATAAAGTAGTTAGACTTGTACAGGTTTTAGTAATTTATTAGCTAGAAATTTTTATTTTTTTGTATTTCATAACCATTTTGGTTACTTTTACATTTTGTAAAACTTAGCTTTTAATAATTTTATGTGTATTTTTTACTGATTTAATCTTAAGCATTTATTTAGACATCACACTGCTTTGTTAGAAGACAGTTTTTAGTTATTAAGTTATAGTTTTTAAACCTGGGTGATAATGGAGTTTCCCATGTCCTCAGTTTTTAACTCCTTATGTCACATTTTTTATGTAATAAAAGTGAGGTTAAAACAACTAGTACGTACTCATTTAATCCCTTTTTGCAAGTCCTTTGTGCATCTACCTAATTGAATCAAGTATGATTTATCTATGATGTTACTGAACAACAAATTTGTCTAACTATGAAGTTCTTCATTTTAAAGACACCCCCTGTGGTTACAAATTTTAGGGGTTAGCGGAATTTTATCCCCAAAGCAGATTTTAAGTCACAGCCATGGGGATGGGAGCAAAATTCTGCCTGCAAACTTTTGAGTTGCAGAACATGAGTTGAATAAAAATAAATTAAAGGTAGAATTAAAAAGTATATTTTCAGGGCTGCGAATTTAGTAAGAACAGTAAGGACTTTAAAACCTAGTGTCGGAATTTTACTCCCATCATGAGTTAACTCAACTTGAAACAGAATATTGCAGCTCTTTTAGATCTTCTGTATGAAATAGTTACACATATTATTTAATTTACTCTAGAAACAAAAACATACTTATCAACTTAAACTTAAACAAGTTACCATGTATTGTAGTTAAATTCTTGTCTTCAAATTCAAATAAGGGGGAAAATTCTCTAGGGTAAACTAAGTGCAGAAGATAATAAGTGATAAGTAGCACTATTGTATGTTTAAATACTTTAACTTGATTTGTAAACTAAATTTCAAAATACCGGTACCTAGTTCAATACATGTGGTAGGCCTACAAATTGTAATTTCCACTGTTTCCTTAAAAAATATCAAAAAAACTATTGTCATATCCTTAACACTTAACACTTTAAAAAAACGTTTGGTTTGAACAGAATATCTGATTTAAAAATACCCCCACCGCAGCAAACCTACCAACTAAGCAAATTTCCATTTGCCTAATTTTATTTTCATTTTCACTTAATCTATACGTCCATACTTAACATTACACAGTATGTTTTTAATGAGTACAGGTTTGCTGCTTCAGAGAGGGTAATAAAGTGTGTTTTTTAGAAAAATATTGATAGCTTAATTGAAAATAAAAAATTTTTGCAAGTTTGTTAAAAATGTATCCATAAACAAGTAAATTATAAGGAATTTTTGAGACATTCAAAACGAAAAAGTAAATCGGTTCCAGGTTTAGGTATTACCATATGAGAGTTATATTAGGTATTACTTTATTCGCTTTATGGAAAATTCGCTCAAATGAGGATTTTGCATTAAAATAATCAGCGGGGCACCTTGCATAGTTGCATGGTTTGAGAGGAGGTAGACCAGTTTTGGCAATGAAGAAAAAAGTCTGTTTTGTTTTCGTACCAAACAAAAACAACCATAACATAACCTCACTTCTTGAACTGAACTGAACTGAACTGGAACTCCTGATTCAAGTAGGCCTAGGCCTTGTTTGCTTGTTTGTAGTATTTTTGTGTAACGTACTTAACTGTAATTTTGCTCTTTTATGTTTAGTTTGATAATACATCCATTTAACTTAAATGATTGAAGTTGTTCCTGTTTGTTTTATGCCTCCCAAGTGACGTGAACCAAACCTTTTAAATGTTTCTGGAGTACATTGTGCAACTGATACAAGCAATGCTTCAGGTTCTTTGGTTTAGTCAAAAGACGCTATCCAATACTTTGAACATTTATGTGAAATCGAACACAGGGAAGACTTTGTCAGTATCATTAGATCCTAAATGGGATGTCAAGAACGTCAAAGAAGTAATTGCTCCTAAATTAGGTTTGCCTCCTGATGAGTTAAAGATAATATTTGCTGGGAAAGAACTTGAAGATTCAATAATCATCGAGGTAACAATGCTAAAATACAGAATATAGGGTTTTCCTAACAATGATTTAATTTTGTGTCAACTTAGCTGGTTCAAGTTTTGATCCCACGCACAGGCCTAGAGTCTAAAAATCCCCTTGGGTACGCTTCCATATCTGTTGGCACAAACAACCGAATTGAATATTGAATGGCAAATATTCGATTGTTTAATTCGATATATCGTGATCGATATTACTCATTTGGTTGTTTGTGCCAACAGATATGGAAGTGTACCCATTCCCCTTTTCAGGCTAAACATCCAACGTTAGGAAACACTTGTTGTTTAAATCTACGCAGAGGATACGAGTCCGGTTAGGCGCCCGGCAGTTACTGTCATAACCTAAAGTAACCAACCAAACTTGCTCACAATAAAAAAATTGAATAAAGGTTAAATGCTGTTATTAAAATAAAATTATAAATGCCAAAATTTCTAACTAAATAGGGCCTATGTCCAGTTAAGAAGAAATTGCATTCAAAGCAAAATCCTTGACAAAAAGTTAAGGGTACCGATGGGAGCTGAACCAGGGACCTCTTGCATATCAGCCGAGCACTCTATACACTACACCACGAACACCAATGACTGCACATCGTATCGTTGTGGTAATGGCGTTCCGGGCCCCATCAACCCGGTGACGTCACTGCCGGACGTGTATCCTCCGTGTTAAATCTAGCCACACTGATAGGGTTGAAACTTGTCATTCGGAACATTACACATTATTAGTGTAGCCTAAGTTAAAGGAATTTAGCCCATTCTTTAAGTCATGGATAAATCGATCTAAAAATGTAGACCAAATTGTTATGACTAGTTAATGTGACAGTGGAAGTCTTAACTTCTTTCAGATATTAATACCTAAACTTAACTTACTTCAATTTTTTTCCACTCTCAATAAGAATTTTTTTTACCACTAAAAGATTAGGCCTATCTAACCAAATAAAAATAGAACGCATCTGATTCTGACAAGTCGAGTATGCAATGTATTTGAATATAATGTAACTTAGGTTTACTTAATTCTACTTCAACTTGTGTCCATAATCGAATAAGTAAGTTACTGTGATCAATTAACTCATAGCCTACCGGTACTCTACCTCTCTGTGGTCAACACTGTTTAGTGTTTACTCCTATGGTAACTTTGAGAGCTACTCCGACTTTTATATTTGTAAGTATACCATAGGCCTACTGCACATGAGGCCGAGCTTTATTTATTTCTTCTTTAACACGTTCACTAACGACAAGTTAACAAAATTTTCACCACAGACCAGTGTCAACTATGGTTGACGTAAGGATTTTTGCCACAGCCTGGCGTCATCTAGTTGACGTATGGTCTGAACTCACAGGACCGACATCAACTATTGTTGACACAAACATCCATTAAATATTATAGACACTTTAAATGGCTAGTTACACATGTATGGTTTATTTTATCGACTTGGATGTTAGTTTTAGGTCTTATGGAATAGCCCCTAAATATGCTGTTCCTGTTGGGTAATATTTTTCTGTACAATTTTCAGCATTTTTTTTACATAAATTTCTTTAGGTCTTGATGCGTTAGTTGAACTAATCCTCTTAGCTGGTGTGTGTTTATCATAGCTGCCTAACCATTTTTTGTGTTTTATATCTTGGATAAAGATTGACATAGGTTAGCCTACTACTAATGGATAAAGACATCGATAAGTTTACACAACGAAGTAAGCGATGGACCAATGCCGAGTTGACAACAAAACTAAAAAAAAATACATGATTGAATTTTTTTTATTAGGCTAGGCCTTATGTTAATAAATATTATTTTGTACCGTTGGCCCTAAGGATAAGGTATTGAGATTTTTTCTCTTTTCCTTTTATGTCTTATTGAAACAGAGTATGAGTTAGTGTGTAAGTTATTTAACTTAAATAGGGTATCACATTTTTCATAACTTTATTCATGCAGGATTGTGATTTGGGCGAACAAAGTATTCTTCATGCTGTGAAAACAAAACGAAGAACTTCATCCTCTCCGGCAACAAAGCCATTGAATGAAGCGCTTAAAGATTTACAACTTGCAAATATAACAGAAACAGAGGATGCACCACTAACAGAGGAAGAGGCAGTGGTTGAGCGGAAGAGAGTTCACTTCTATGTGTATTGTGCCTCTCCGTGTGGAGGAGTGAGAGAGGGTAAGCTGAGAGTGAGATGTTCATCTTGCAAGAGTGGAGCCTTCACAGTGGACAGTGACCCAAGGTGTTGGGAAGATGTGCTCAAGCCTCTCAAGATATCTGGCCATTGCGAGGAGGAAGCATGCCCAGTGAGTATTTACTTACCACATCAGTTAGTTTATGATTGGCATTTTGACTGCTAATAAAATATACTTCAATGCAAAGTTGTTAAGCAGATTTAACATTAGCCTATTTATGAAATGATACTAAACAGAACACATATTTGTTAAACAAAGAATAAGTAAATATTTTTTAACCCCAATCACCACCACTGACGAAGTGGTATCCACTTTACTGGGGGGAATTCCAGTGTCTCATGATGAGCCCTGGTAAATTTCTTCTCTAATTCACTTTATTTTTGATTAGTACAGTACCTACTTCAAATAACTAGTTTACTATTAGGCTTATTATGCCAAAATTATTTAAATGAACTATTACAGTAACTGTACAAGAAAACCCACACTTTGTCCCCTACACACGTAAAAATGACAGATGTTAGATGCTACATACAACGGATTGCACAATGCAAACTGAGAAGAATATTTCTCCCAGCGCACGATATATCGCCCTCCCTTGACCGAGCCTGAGTTCATATACTGAGCTCCTGTTGTTTAGGCGGGTTGGTAGGGAAGCAGGCATCCCACGCTCAATCAAAGTGTTAAATTGTAGATTATTACATTGTATGTTCCCTAATGGACTGTTTTGAGAGTATTCTTATTACATGGAGATTAAACTACAACAAATTACAGGATGGAGCAGTTGGTTGGGCAGAGTTTTACTTCAAATGCAGTGAGCACACGAGCCAGGGAGAGAAGGACCAAGCAGTTCCCTTGTACCTTATCAGGGCTAACCTGCGTGAGGTACCTTGTCTGGCTTGCACTGATGTCAGGTAGGAAAGTAGGCTTTGCCAGTAATTTTTTTGTTAAGTGTGTTAAGAGTTTACACCAGAGGAATTTTCAATGAAGTTATAACAATTTGCTTTTTAGCTAATTTCCCTATAGGGAAGTAGCTATTACTGTAGGTGGCACACATGGGATGTCTAAATTCTGTGTATGGTCAATGATTCTACCCAGTTATAGTATGACTTGAATATGCCTTTTGAAGTTCAGAATACAATTTACCGTACTTGTTTCATTACTGTTAGTGGTGGTCTGTTTGCTCTATTGCTAGCAGCTTGTGTGAAATCTGTGTTAAGAATGACGCCAACAAATTTCAGCAGTTTCAAAAATAAAACTGCCAAAATCTTCTATTTTGAAACTTTTGAACCTCGAAACTCTGTGGTCAAATCTCAAAACCGAAACTTTTCCAAAGTTTTGATGGTCTTAACATCTGAGATTCGGTTTTGACACATCACTATATTCATATGCTTTGTTTTAAGCTCATTTTTGGTTATGTAAGGTAAGTTTATTTAATTTGTGTTTAGGCAAGTGTGTCTAATAATTTGCCTACTTTCTGTTTGAAGTAGACCTAATTATTATTCTCTATAGGGGTTTGGTTTTAATGATTTTTGGTTAAAACGTTGTGAACTTTAAGCGAAGCGTTGTGAAAACAATTTGTACTGATTGTAATCATAAAATGTCTGAAATGTTCACTTTAACATTTTCAAACCATATTTCAATGTGTAGTGACCCAGTGCTGGTGTTCCCGTGTGAGGCGAGTCACGTGACCTGTTTGGAGTGTTTCCGCCAGTACTGCGTAACAAGACTACGAGAGCGACAGTTTGTGAGTGATGAGCAGTTAGGCTACACGCTGCCTTGTCCTGCGGGATGTCCAGACTCTCTCATCGCAGAGTGTCATCACTTCCGCCTCCTCACGCAAGAACAGTACGCACAGTATCAGAGGTTCGGAGCAGAGGAGTTTGTGCTCAAGGCAGGCGGAGTGCTGTGTCCTCAGCCTGGATGTGGCGCTGGCATCTTAGCTGACCCTGACTGTATACGGATAACTTGTGTGAACGGTTGTGGTGTGAGTATTACCTGCCTAACTCTCATGTTAGTTCCATGAAGATTAATCTTATTTAGTCTGAGCAGTGGCTGCAGTGGAAAAAGTTTCTAAAGAAAATAACGTTTAAAGCTTTAATAAAAAAAAAAATATAAGTATATGGGTACATCATTTTGATTTTGATAAGATTCCACCATGAAGACAGCTTAAATTGGCATGCTGAATGATATAGATTACTTAAATGTGAATTAACCCAAACCTAGAAAGAAATACCCCAACTGCATCAAATCTGTAGACTAAGCAAATTTTCATTTGCCTGATTGGATTTTTATCAAAATATTCCCCTTAAAACATGTCAGATTTATTCCCTAATGAAATTAGGTTTAATGACTAAAGGTTTGCTGCTACAGTGAAGGCAGCCTAATGACGTGTTTTTTTAATACAATTTTTATTAGTTTATGAAGTAGTTAGTAAATTTTCCAAATGTTATCTAAACATCCTCATATCCAAGCAAATTGCAACAATTAAATAATTGTTCTCCATAAGGATAATTCGGGATTCAATGTATTGTGTTAAGCACTTCTCAGTAACTGAATATCGTACAACAATCAATTAATTGTTTATTTTAAGCTCCATACAATGACTGTAATGAAAATTAGGCACATTCCATCACTGTTAGGGGTACAATTTTTACTAATAAAAACAATCATTGGACACATAAAAAAAAACCTTTAACACCAATACCCGATCTAGCTGGTTCTTAAACTCATAAGAGTTATTCCATTCATACACATTCATGACAATTTTCATCAAAATCGGACTACAATTGGTCAAGTTATCACTTTAACATAAACCGTGTCACATACGGTAACAGTTTTCTTCCTATGGGAGAAATTCAATAACAATTTAACACTTGAAACATTAATAAGATCTCTTTACAGAGGGGTCTGTAAAGAGTAGATTAAGGGTACCTGTTTGCCGCGCGCTAATGCAAGGGTTTAGGATCTTGTCATTGTCGGCTTAGTTTTTACCCGATTGAAAATATGTTATTGTTAATTTATTCATTTCTTTTTTTTGTAGACTTGTATCGTTTTAATTTTTTTGGTAATAGTAGATTTTTAAGTGGAAAATGACTGGTAAATACTTCTAAATAAGCTTTTTTCTTTAGCATTTTACACATAAAAATGAATCGTTAAAAGAAAATTAAAACAATAGAGTCATAAATATGAATCTAATGAGTAAGGAACATTCTTCAGATGAAAAAAATGTAAAAGTTAACTGAGTAATTGAGAGTACTTAATCGTCTGCAAGCGCTTCTTGCGGCGCTGTTCAGTGGCGCAAAATAGCTACTGAAGCCCGAGCTGAAGTAGAGCGCACCCTTGAATTTATTAACTCATTGAAGACCTGCCTCTCTTTAGTTTTGCAAATTCTCCAACCCTTCAAAAACGCTGATACAAAGAAAAGGTTACAAACTGATTAGACCTGTGTGTACTTGCAGTTTGTGTTCTGTCGACTGTGTCTGCAAGGTTACCACAACGGAGACTGTGACTCAAGAGAGCAAACAGCTGCGGTTGGCAGCAGCGGTTACTCTGTTGATCCGCACAGGGCTGGAGCTGTGAGTACATAAATAACAGTATCATTACATTAACCTAAATCTACATTTTAATTACCAATACAGGGTTTAAATAAAAAAAGTTTATGTTTGATCTCATTTTAATGCTGTTTACTAATTGCATGAGTGCCGGTCATTTACAATTTTGATATAATAATGAAAGGATTAACAAATCTTATAAATTGGCTAAATATGTAAGGGAACTACCGGAAGACATCAATTTAATTTGTTATTCAACTAATCATCAATATTGGTTCTGTTTGTTATGTAGGCAAGATGGGATGAAGCTAGTAGAGTGACCATAAGAGTGATGACAAAACCTTGTCCTGAATGTAGAACAGCTACAGAACGTGACGGTATGTATAAATATATCACTAATTATTACATTTATTAGCTGCAGTTTGAAGTATACTAGCAAAATTAAAAAATGAAACAGTTAAGCTGCATTTAGACAAAGCCAGTTGGCAGGAAGGCTACCTGTCTCAGGTAACTTAAATGCTCTAGAAGGAGGTAACCTGCCTGCTCTGCTGGTCTTGTGTAGGCTAAGATAAGGGTAGGCCAGCCTATCCTTAGTTGCCTATTTCTGTTTCCTGATAAGGAGTCTGCGAGTCCCCGATATTTTTGAGTTGGCGAGGGATCAATTTGGCTAACAAACAATTTTTTGTCCAAGCTCGTGTAAAATTATTGACCAAAGCTCCCTACAAACAGCTAGATTTTTTTTTGTTTTTGTGAAAGTAGAAAACAGTCGATACGCAGAAGATACACAATCAAAAAATGACTTTTCTGCTGTGATGGCGAGAGATGCTCATTGTTTTTTTTGTTCCATGATCACGGAAGATATTAAATTATATATGAAAATATACTTATGTAGGTATGCCAGAAGGTGTCAAAAGTAGTTATATTTCATGCTGTACATATTTCGAGCCTATCACAGCTCATCTTCAGAAACATTTATATTTATAGGCCTACAGGATTTGAAATAAATCCCATTGAGCGATGTTTGTCGAGTATTTACAAACGCTTATGTTCAAACAAAGATAAACATTATGCGTATCGTTTGGCCGATATTTGTTACAATTATTTTGTACGCAAACATGGAACTATCAAAAGAGACGGTTTTCATGGCCTACTTAGGAACACTGGAGAGTGACATCACAGAATTAGCTGACTCGCGGTTTCTAATTCCAGCTGTTTGATAGCTCCACCCCTGCTTACAAAAAATTTGTAAACACAGGCAAAACGATGCGCATAATGTTTATTTCTGTGTGTATATAAGAGCTTTGAAAATAATCAACAAACATTGCTCGTAGGGATTTATTGTAAATACTGTATAAATGCTGTTGAAGATGAGCTGTATTGGGTTCAAAACGTGTAGGCCTACAGCATGAAATATAACACTACGCTTGATACCTTCTGGCATACCTAGGTAAGTAGATTTCATCTATAATTGAATATTAAAGGTTTGTCAAGGCTGTTCAATTTGAAAAATAGCGGAAGATATTCCCAACTTTTTCCGTGACCACAGAAGTTGTTTACAATTAATTGTAACACCATTGTGGGAGACTATATATATACTATTGTGTAAACCAATTGAAGTATTGAAGAATATGTTAATAATCACTTCTTTCTAAAAAACCTGTCCTTCGTCCCAGTATCTGAATGTGTGATTTTTTAGCTGACACAAATTTAAAAAAACTGTCTTGGAGATCCTACTTAACCCTTTGGGTCCCAAGTGCCGATCACATCGGCACTTCAGTTTTATCTGAAAAGACCCGAGTGCCGATCACATCGGCACTGCCGTTACGATCGAAAAAGCCCGGGTGCCGATGTCATCGGCACTATGTATGTATGCGAAAAAACCCAAGTGCCGATGTCATCGGCTTTTCGTAAATCTACTACTACAAAATTATTTATAAAGCTATTCCACTGAAAGATATATCAAACGAGAGCAAATTAAATTCTCTAAGCAAGTAAATTCAACAACACGCTCAAAACGTACTTTATATAGAGCTTGAGAGTAAGAAGAACGACGAAATTTGCGTGGCCTTGACCGGTCTGTCTGTACAGCTGTTGCGCATCAAAACAAAACATTAACTCGACGTTGTTCGTTGTTGACATTCACTGTGAAGTACTAAATGTTGTTTGTTGTTATTCGTGAGTTTGTTTAGTGAATTTTATTATGAAATGAAGTAAAATGAGTTTCTATATAAACTATTGTTGCTAAAATAGATTGTGTACGTACAGAAAGTTTTTCAATTTGCACTGATTATGTCTTGAGTATTAGAAGCTTTGTTTGAACGTTTGAACTAGGACTAACCTGACTTCTCTGTCCTCTGTGTCTGTTGTTTTATTTCTTTTTAAAAGCTCTTATTACTCCAAACTAATACTCTATTCCTTACTTTTCATTGATTAACACTTTTCCATTTGCATGTGCATGAACTTTTTAGTGTGAATAAACTAAATTAGGCTGCCTATCTTACCGTTTGAACTAGGGTATGCCTAGGCCTAACTTGAGATCTCTGTCCTTCATTTATCATGAGAGAACTTAACTTTTTTTGAAGTATAGTTACTTATAATCATCCTATATGCCGATATAAAGTTGTATGTATCTAAAAATTAGTATAAAAGCAGGCCTAGTTAAAACTTACAGCCAATCAAAATGAGTGAGAAAAAATCAAAAAGAAAACATTCCCCTGAAAGTGAACGAACACTTATTTCAAATATACTGGAGTCTGGTGTAACATTTATTGATGGAAATGAGAGTGATGATTCACTATTAGATATTTCTTCTTCTTCAAGTGAGGACGTAGACGACACTGACGAAGATCCCGACTACGACCCTAGTGGTAAAGATGGACTTAACCCTAACAGATATAGTTTTTTATCCAACTTTAGACAAAATGGAAGAAACTTGATGTCTGATACCGGTAGTGACAGTGACAGCCCTCTAATGCAGGATAGGCCTAGGACTGAATGTGATGTAAGTGTAAACCAAACCTGTTCTACGTCAAACAGTGAAGATCCTGATGATCCTGTAGGCCTACCTATTGATGAGCCAAGCACTTCTACAGGGAGGTCTCATGTTGTGTCGAGGACCCTAAGCAATAGGCCTACCGGTAGACAGAAGAAGAGCCAAAACAATAACCCTAGATGTAATAGGCCTACAAATCCCAAATCAAAATCAAAAAAACAACCGGAAAGCCCAGAAAGCAGCGAATGGGAGGAACTTGACTCCGACGATGACCCTGAATACAACCACAACTTTGGATTCTCAGAATTGCCCGGCCCTAAACATTGCCCACCTAGGAATTCAAAGCCTATTGAGTACTTCAACCTTTTTTTTACTGTAAATCTACTAAATACCTTAGTGACTGAAACAAACAGATATGCTGGGCAGTTTTTCAGAAATAATCCAGCTGTAAGAAACCGCATGAAAGATTGGGTCCAGGTTAGTCTAGGAGAAATGAAAGCTTTCATAGCTATTGTACTCAACATGGGCATTATTAGAAAACCCTCAATACGAAGTTACTGGTACACTTCTTCCTCTCAAAAATGTGATTGGTTTGGTAAAGTACTTAGCCGAAATCGATTCCAAGCCATTTTGAAATTTTTCCATCTAACATACTCAACCGCACTAGCACCACTTGATTCCCCAAATTACAACCCCTGTGGACGATTTCAACCTCTGATAGATCATGCAAACCGCCTTTTCCATCATTACTACATACCTCACCAAAAGTTGTCTGTGGACGAGTCACTAGTTGGCACCAAAAAGCGAGTCGCTCTCACACAGTATCTTCCAAAAAAAAAAACATCACAGATGGGGGATAAAATTGTGGGTGCTTTGTGATGCTTTGACCAACTACTGTTTAAAATTTTACTGTTATAAAGGAGCCAAATATGAAGACAATAGAGAAGAAATTCAGCGTCTAGGGCAGGGCTACTCGGTTGTTAAAAAGTTGTTAGAGATGGGAAATTTCCTAAACAAAGGATACCATCTATACCTTGATAATTTCTTCACTTCAAAAAAATTAGCTAGATTTTTGTATCAAAATTTTACATGGTTGACTGGCACAGTTCGTACCGATAGAAAAGGAGTCCCTAAAAAGCTATTAGGCAAGTTCCCTGTAGGCAAAAGAGTTTACGTTCGTAAAGGACCTTTCTTATTCATGGCCTTCCGTGAAAAGGCAACCAACAAAACTCAATTCATTTTACTATCATCCAATGCCCGAGCAAAGAGTGTGCGTTACACAGTGAAAAGAGGAGGAAAAATGTTAATTAAGTGCAAACCTCACATAGTTTACGAGTATAATCATGGGATGGGAGGTATAGACGGGACAGACCAGATGCTCTACACCTATCTGGATGAGCGTAGGTGTATGAAGCATTTCAAAAAGGTAATTTTTAATATTTTTGGTAGAATGGTCTTGAATGCATATGTCCTGTATAAGTTGAATACAGACAGACCCCTCTCCAGACTTCACTTCCAGGTATCCATCATTGAGGAGTTGGCAAATGAATGGTTTTTAGAAAAAGCTCCGGTTGCTGAAAATAGAGGGGGCGGCGATGGATTTTCACCCAACAGGAAATTTGGATTAGAAAAACTAGAAGGGAATAAGGAAAGCAATTGTTGTGTGTGCAGTGGGAAAAATGACCCCATGGGTAAAAGAAGAAGGTCAAAAACAATTTGTGTTAATTGTAGGCGTGGATGTCACTTGGACTGTCTTCCTCGACATAAATGTAAATAGATGAGCCGTTCAAGAAAAAAATGTAAATATGTAAATAGTTTTAGCGCTTAACGTTTTATTTCAATTTTTTAACAGAAAACATTATAGCCTGTAAGAGATATGTGCATAAAATGAACTGCTTTCACATTCTTTTCAGTAGCTTCTTAGTGTCTAAAATAGGTGAAATGGGTAGACTATCTTTCTCGACACAAATGTAAATATATGAGCCGTTCCAGAAAAAATGTAAATATGTAAATAGTTTTGGCTCTATTTTATTTCAATTTTTTAACAGAAAACATTATAACATAAGAAAGATGTGCATAAAATGAACTGCTTTCACATTCTTCTCAGTGTCTAAAATAGATGAAATAGGTGGACTGTCTTCCTCGACACAAATGTAAATATATGAGCCGTTCCATAAAAAATGTAAATATGTAAAGAGATTTTGCTCTAAATGTGTTATTTCTAAATCTTTTATTTCAATTGATTAACAGAAAACATTATAACATAAGAAAGATGTGCATATAATGAACTGCTTTCACATTCTTCTCACTATTCTTCTCAGTAGCTTCTCAGTGTTCTCAGTGTGGTATAGGTGAGAGACTTCATTTTACCTTTTTATTTCTTGCATGATACTTATTTTTAATTACTGTAAATAGATCCAGGCTTATAAATGCATGTAGAAATGTTATTGTAAAAGTATTTCTGTAGTATGTGGTAAATATTTAATAAACTTGGGTTTTATAATTACTTTATGTGTTTTTTTTGTTATATGTCGATTTCGGCAAAAAAGTAACGTTTTTTATTTTTATAAATAAAAATACTTATTTATTATTATTTTTTGCTAAAACTTTCACAATATGTTCTTTATTTAGTGGTATTTAATAAAATAATAAACTTATAGGAAAAAAAATACAGCTAATATTCTTTTTATGGGGTACAAAATGAAAATTTGAGAAAATATTAGGCCGTTCATACATATAAATTGTATATATATATATATTTATTCATATATTTTTAAAATTTTACTTATCATTGTTAAAGTAGATTCTATTAGCTAAAAGATAAAAAAAAAAATTATAACTCTAGCTGCTTTCTAAGGTGAGTTATGAATATTTATTTGATAATAGTACAAAACAGCTGAAAATGGCTTGGGATTCTGGGGTATAGTGTGCATAGAGTTACTGGGTCATCTGGTGTGACAACACAACTAGTGGTCTGGGTCACCTCTGATACAAAATTAACATAATGCTTGGGACCCAAAGGGTTAATCTAATAGGCTAGATAAATGGCAAAAAAAAACCCTGCCTTGGAGACCCTCCTAAATGTAATAGGCTAGACCAATGGCAATAAATAGCTCTAATGTATTCTTGTATGACCCAGGGGGCTGTATGCACATGGTCTGCACCAGATGCAACTTCCACTGGTGTTGGGTCTGTCAGACTGAATGGACTCGGGATTGTATGGGAGCTCATTGGTTCGGTTAAACTTCGACTCCAACAACAGTCCTCTTTAACAATGGTGCCTTACGTACAATGGTTTCTACTCACAAAGAAGTTTTAGGAATATTTAATGTTCGTTAGTCATTAAGCTAGTCCAATTTTTTCGAGTGTGAATACACATTTTGTATTTATAATTAACTATGTTCACATATAATTTGAGTCTTAATAGGCAATCAGTTTTGTTAAGCGTTTTAGTTTTACGGGTTTACAGTTTTTTTACAGAGTTAAAATTGTTGGAAAGGCTAATCTACTTTATTCACTTTATAAGTGTTTAATACAATGTTGAAGTATAGTTTTTTTTTTTTTTTTTTTTTTAGGGAGAGGTGGGAAAATGCATTTATGCACACAGGTTGCCTGTAGTGTGGGACTCCAACGGGCTTAAGGCCCAGAGACTACCCACTAAAAACCTCCTCTACTCTTCGGACACTAGCCTGGGAACACTTGTCGCACTTCATCAGAACTAGGCCGAGTTTTCCTACGCCCGAGGGGCTTACGCCGTGTCTAGCCGTTTATTTCTTATCAAATCTAGACTATGTTCCGATCTAGATCATTCTTTTTAGCTTGAAGGACATTCCGGACAAAGTGCGACCAGCAGTCCCAGTTGTCCTCACCCTTCAGCAAGGTCTCACAGATCGATTCAATCGACAGCACCCCAAGATGTTGAATGGCCTCCTGGCGAAGCATATCCCATTGTGGACAGTGGAAAAAAGTGTGTTCCGCGTCGTCGGGAATGCATGGGCAGTAAATGCAGTCAGGTGAATTCGTTTTGGCCATCAAGTGCAGGTACGACTGAAAATAGCCGTGACCTGACAAGAACTGCGTGAGGTAATAGTCAACCTTTACCGTGCCGCCGTTCTACCCACGGTTGGACCTGCCTGATGAGTCTGGCAGTCCAACGTCCTCGAGTCTCCCTTTCCCAGCTTTCTTGCCACATCTGAAAAGTGCGGGAGCGCTCTTCTGTTCTTGCAGCGTCCTTTCCGATGTAGCCTTGTCTCTGGTAGATTGCCTTCCTCTCCGCTGCCAAGAGTTTGACTGGGATAACTCCAGCGATCACCAAAACCGACACCGTACGGTACGCGGAAGCGACCCTGAGTGCCGCCTGACGCTGCACTCGTGCGAGCCTCAACCTATACGCCTCCTTGTTAAGCGCGTCTGCCCACACCTCAGAGCCGTAGAGAAGCACGGACTGGACTGCAGACATCAGTAGTCTTCTACGGCTGGACCGGGGACCACCGACATTGGCCATAAGCCTACTAAGAGCAGCAACACTCCTAGCAGCCTTGTCCGCCGTGCGGAAGATCTGGTCCCTCCAGCTCAGCTTGTTGTCCACCATGACACCAAGGTACTTGGCGGTTCGCGTGGTTTGGACAACTACGTTCCCAACTCGTAGCGGAACGATGGTTTCAATCCGTTTTTTCGTGAGGATGACGATCTCTGTCTTGCTCAGAGCGAGTGTCAGACCATGATCAGTCATCCAGGCGTTTACAACGCGCATGACTTGGTTCAGTTTCAGTTGGGCTAGCTCAACGTTGCGTGCAGCAATGAGGGCTGCGACGTCATCGGCGTACCCAACTAAAACGGTCTCCTCTGGCATCTCAGATCTCAGAAGGCTGTCGTAGGCAGCGTTCCACAAATCTGGGCCGAGTATCGAACCTTGCGCGGCACCGGAAGTAACATCCATCGTCCGCGAACCATCTTTAGTTTCGTAATTAAGAGTTCTGCAGCGCAGGTAGTCCTCGATCAGCCTCAACAGATATGCTGGTACGCGGAAGCTGTTCCTCAACGCGCTCAACATATCGACCCATCTCGCCGAGTTAAAAGCATTCTTGACATCTAGCGTAACAAGAAGCACGATACGGCGAGAGTAATGATTGAAGCTCTCGGCACGCTCTACCGCTCTGTGTACCTCGGATATCGCGTCGATTGTTGACCGACCCTTTCTGAAGCAGTACTGACGAGGAGACAAATCTCCGGCAGCTTCCACGGCAGACGTCAGGCGGCAGCGGATCAGTTTCTCGAAGAGTTTTCCGGCCACATCCAACATACAGAGGGGTCTGTAAGACGACGGCATATTTGGGTCACCTTTCCCCTTGCTGATTAGCACAAGCCTAGCCCTTTTCCAAGGAGTTGGGAAAACCCCTTCGCACAGGCATGTGTTGTACATTCTCAGCAGTAAGAGGGGGTTAACTGAGAATACCTTCTTGAGAGCCTCACTGGGAATACCATCAGGACCAGGTGCTTTTCTATTTTTCAGGGAGAGGACAGATGATTCCAGCTCTTTAATGCTAAAGAGTGGAATGTCCCCTACCTCGCCATAGTCGAAAAAAGGCCGCCGAGGATGAGACGGAAAGAGGGCGGTGACGATCCTGTCCATGGTGGTGCCCTCCATGACGGAAGGTGGTGATCGGGCGCCGAGTTTCTGGGTTACAACCTTGTAGCCCAGTCCCCAAGGATCAGAGTCAACATCCTCCTGAAGCCTCCTCCAACAGCTAACCTTGCTCCTGATGATAGCCCGACGAAGAGCTTTCTTCGCAGCCCTATAAGCCGCTGACTTAGCCTCGAAATCCGGGAATCTTCTGGCCCTCATAGCGGCACGTCTGGCTTTCAGACAAGCTTTCCGAAGGTTCGAGATCTCTAAAGTCCACCAGTACACAGCTTGCTTATCGCGACGGCGTCCCCTGCGTGGCATGGCCTGGTCACAAGCCGAGACAATCAGTTCCATCGTGGACGTTACCAATGCCTCGGCGTCAACAGGTGCAGCAGAATTCACCAGCGCTCCCCGTGAGATTACGTCAGTGAACTTCTCGACATCCAGCTTGTCCGTATTCCTTCGGCGTGGTCCAGATCTTGATACAGGCGCCTGATTATGGTGTTCATCCAGTATATCAAAAACGATGTACTGATGATCACTTGCCGTGAGGTCTTCGATGACTCTCCAGTTGGAGATCCGTGCTAGTAGTGATTCCGACGAGAAGGAGATATCGGGGATCGTACCTCTCATGCCGGGGCGCCGGAAAGTAGGCGTGTCGCCCTCGTTTAAGACGACAAGTCCGGCCCTGGCGGCAAAGTCCAGGATGTATTTCCCCCGGGAGTTTGTAGAGGTCATACCCCACTCCACAGCCCTCGCATTAAAATCACCAGCAACAACGACATGCCCAACGGTACCCCGTACACTGTCTTCTAAGCGGTCAATCTTCAGACGGAATTCCCGAATTGGCTCGTTGGGGGTAAGGTAGACACTAAAAAACGTGACGTCCCTACACCTGACCCAAACGAAGCCTCGGCCGCGTCCGTGATCTCGCACTGGTGCTTCCGTGCTGTTTCGAACCCAACAAGCGGCAGTACCAAGAGAATCTGGGAACCAGAAGTGTGGGTCCCTGTCACGGTACTGCTCGCTGATCAGAAGGGTGTCAGCACCGATCTCTTGGGCCAGCTGATCTAAGAGGGAGTCAGCCGTTCTGGACCTCTCAAGGTTACCCTGGAGAATCCTCACTTCCTAGACCTAGCCTTCTCAAGGTCGAGTGCAGCCTTGAAAACACTGCATCGCCCAGCCCCTGGAATGTGACCTAATGAGGCGTCCTTTTGGCCTTTCTCTGCGCAGAGAAAACAACGCTCTGCTGCGGTACAGTTCTTCCTGTTGTGGCCCGAGCCGCCACACCTGAAACAATTCTTGGATAGGTCGGGTCCTTTACAGTTTCGGGAAGAGTGACCAAACCCGAGGCAGCGAAAGCATCGCGGTACAACCACCCTCCGTCTGAGCCTGCAATTGACCCATCCAATTCTCAGGTGTGTGAGATTAAGCAGCTTGCTGGCATCTTGGTTTCGCATTTCAGCGATAGCTATGCGTTGCTCGCTGCGGTTGGGCCGCGTAAGCCATACTTTAAGGGAGTCGGCATTTTGGATATCGGGGATGGCCTTGTTGATAGCCTCCCTGACTTCAGCCTCAGTCGAAAGACCGTCAAGGTCCCGGATCTCCACCGAGGTCCTAGGCTCGAGTTCCCGAACAGTACCGTGGTCCCCCAGAGCCTCTCTGACCTTTGCAGCAAAAGCCACTCGGTCACCAGATTTCCCCAGCTCGAGGAGAACTTTCCCATTCTGGGTACACCTGATTGACTTAACAATCGTATCCGTCTCCTCTGGCTTGGCCTTAGACTTGAGTCGACCCAAGACTTCAGCAAAAGAGCGCCCCCCTAAGGGGTTGATCAGGATTGCCTCAGCCCTGGGCTTTCTCGGCCTGGGTTTCTTTGAAACAGGGGGGGCCTTTCCACGAACCTCCCTCGCCGGAGCAGGGTCAGCAATCTTTCGATCTCTTGCTGCAGGTTCTTTGTTAGAGACAGCCTCCATTCGTCTCAATTTCCTCTTTTCTTTGCGGGAAAGCCTCTTCTCCCAGTTACCCACATTTGATGGTGCCACAGCAGAGTTCATAGAGCTGCTTCCGTCAACAGTTGGGAGAGAGGCAAGCTCCCTGGTTTGCTGAGGGCGCTTCTTTAGAGCTGGAGTGTGCTCAGTAGGGGGTGTCATCTGGGTGGCCCTGTCCTCGACCTTCTGCTCGACATCTGACAGAGGCTGATTGGCCAATTCAGGAAGATCGGGGCTCTCCGCTGGTGAGCTCCTTGCCCGTTTCCTTTGATTCCCGCCCTTGTCGTTCAGTTTAGGGGCTAAAACTTGGTTCACAAGCTCCCGTTCATTAACTAAAGCCTGTCTCATCAAGCCTTTAATTTCGAGAACTCGGGCAACCCGATCCTTCACCTTTGGGAGACCGTCCTTGATTGACCGGTTTACATTGGTCCGGAGCTTCAAGGTTCCCTCCATATTATTGATGAGGTCCATCATCTCTACCAGGAGGTCAGACTCCTCCTCATCAGCATCGTCGTATTGTTGACGGTAACGCTGAAGTTCGGGATCCGACCTCTGGGGGCTGATTTTCGGCGCTGTACTTTCCAGGAGGGTTCCCGTCAACGCCGGTTCAACGTCTACTTTTCCTTCTCCACTTGTCAAAGGAGATCTTAGTGGGGGGAACTCATTTGAGCCCTTAAAGGTTGCAGGCGGTGGAGTTGCCTTAACGTTGTTCGCTGGTGGCAACATTTGGACCTTGGAGCTACGCCCAAAAGGGCTCCACTCCTTTTCCGACTTCGATTTTTGCTCATTTGAGCTGCTGTTAAATAATGTGTTGGGTGGGGGGTTTTGACAAGCCATACATGTGTTTACCAGCGCATCGTGCGGCAAGAGACGGCCCGGATTTAGTCAGGAGCGGGTATACCCTCGGGGACAATCCCCTACCCCAGTTCCCCAGGGCCCGACCTCCGTTTGCCCAGCACCGGATACCTGACGTGCCGGGGGTCGCCTGTTGCAATGCAGAGCCCGACCTCTGCATCCATGCCGCACTTCCTGACCAAGGACCGAAGTGGCTGGCTCCTCACGACACACTGGGAATACCCATCGGCAGTGCAGAGCACACATCAACCCCTGCAACACAACAGGGGGACTCCCAGTGAGGACGTCAGTCACCCTTTTAGTCGCCTCTTACGACAAGCCCAGGAGGGCTGCGATCCTATTCTAACCCCGAAACCGCAGGGGGGAATATTGAAGTATAGTAAAATGATAAATGAATACAATAATTGAAATAATAATTTAAGTTCTCAAAAGATGTTTGTTCAAGACCAACATGGATTTTGTGTTTGATTTTAATTGTCATTACTATTTTAGAGTTTTTTTCTTGGCGTAATGTGCATGGTACTAGTTGATTACCAGTATGTTCCAATCCAAAAGACATGTTTTCTTTTTATTTTTCAAACTAATAATAAAATATACTCATCGAAATATATACATTTAGATTTTTTCCTTAATTCAATAAAGGTTTTTGGATTTTCTTGAATCCTAGATGTTTTAGTTTCACTTATGTTTCATTTCTTCATATGGAAGGTTTTTTAGACATGATTGATTTCATGTATCTAATAATTTATGGACAACTTATTATTTTCCTTTATTTTATATTTTCTTACAGGGACAAGTTCATATTTGGATATTGTATTAATTATAAAGCTATATTAATGCTCAGTACTGTTGTTAATTTTTTATCATTCTTGTATTTGCACTACATAACAATAACAATGTTTCATGGTATTTTTGTTTCTTATTGATCACTTTATCAATAATATTGGTGATATTATACAAGTGATATAGGTAGTTTATACCTTACTTACAACTAAATTAAAATATGTAAATAATACTGTTTATGTTTGCAAATAAACTAATTGAAAAAAAAACTACTCTAATTGTGTTTTTTCCGTGTTAAAACTTGTGATTAGTCAAATCATCGCCAAGATTTAAATTTAAAGTAAACTAGTAAATAGTTAAATACATGTGAGATGTTAATGGTTACTAGTGTACATGTTGCTCGAATTCGAGCAATTGCAAAGTATTACAGGAATTATTCCAAAACGAATAACAGTCATATTTACAATGTGTTTAAAAGACTCAACTCAATAAGATTACCGGTGTGTACTGTAACTCAGACCAAAGAGCAGAGGTTAAGATGTACATGTTCTGCTCCAAAGAGGTTCTAAATACAAACAAACATTTCAAAGTAAAGATAAAAAATCTGATTAGGTACTGACAAAAAGGTTTTTGTTGTGTATTAACAGGCCATATAAAATAGATTTTCGTCATACTGCAGCAAAAACAGCTGTATTTAAAGCATGCGTTGCGGGTCTAAAGTAGCACTTTTACTCTCTAGGGAGTAAAAATAATTTTATTTTTAGTCTCTAGGGAGTAAAAATTAGCTGTTGTAAACAGTTGTAAATTTTGATTGTGGCAATCATATCTATCAAAATTATTGATTGATTTATTAGGTAAGGTTTTAGCATATTGTTGTCGATGGCTCAACATACCAATGGTATAATGTACTGTAACACAATCGTAATACGGTATACAAAATGATTGAATCCTTACTAAACAGCTGCTTGTAACAGAATTGAAAACAAGCTGGAAGTCATTTTGAGAGGTTATCTTTACATAAAAACTATTTTGTTTTCTAGCTTTGTTTGTTAATTAATTAATGATGCAATATGACAACATAAAAATTATTTTGTTTTCTAGCTTTGTTTGTTAATTAATTAATGATGCAATATGAAAAAAATATAGTTCACTACACAGACAAAAAGTTACTTTTTAACCCTTATTAACCCACAAATTCCGACGGATCTTGACTCGGTGAACACGTAATAAAATGGCAGAACACTATTAGGGGTTTCCATGTAACATCCCTTTTCTAGCCATCCTTTTAGCCGATTTGTTCAATTGTGGTGTCATTTAAAACACCAACAACTAGTTTTGAACCCTATTAAAATGTGCAATTTAAGCAGTCCCCTCACTTATCATACTTTGCCATTGTATATTTCATTTTAATAAATATCCCTTAATATATTCGTACTGTGTCCTTTGATTAATATGAACTAATCAGTTGATTGAACATCAGTCCATGGATTAGTCTACATAGTTCAAGAGAAGAGTGTGAGAATCCCACGGTTTTTCCTACCATGTTATTTTTTTTAAGTAAGTTCAACACAATGGTCACAATGGCATGCTAAAATTATCAATTAATAATCAATATTGCATCAAATGTGAGGAAAATGTAATAAACAAAAACATGAAAACAATGAGATAAATGCTTCTGTCGATATAACACTTGTTAGCACCATTAGATAATGGCACTTCCTCTGTGTTACAAAAGATTTATGCAATTCTAGATGACACGGTTGATTCTGAACAGGATGTCATTGATTGGCGGGAAGAGATTGTAAATCAACCATTAAATCAAAATTTTATTGTAAAAACGTATTTGCAGCATCGTCATTCATCATATTATTAGGCTCAAAGGAGATCGGTAACAGTTTTTCTTTCCAGTTGTAAATAGTTAAGATTCATTGTTGAATTTTTTTTTATAAGTACACATTTTCAAATTTTTAACAAATCTTTCTTTCTTTGCTTATTTCTAACAAACTTGTAGCATGTTTTGCAAGTTATCTAATATTGAAAGAGTTTGATTTTGTTTTTCATTGGAAAAGCAGGCTTACATATACAGTGAGTGAGACTTCTCCATAGGAAACACATTTATACACACACAAAATTAAAGTATTTCTTGGTTAGGTACTGACAACTCTGTCAAACAAAAAGAGAGGAAGATTGCAATGGTCAGCTCTTTTTTAAAAGACTCACCCGCTGCACAGGTTAGCTTGTTCTTCCTATCAAAAACAAAATCCAAGCCAAATCCTTTACCAAGAATACCTAATATTTAATAAATTATTGTACAGTATTAATTTAAAAAAAAATTTATTTGTATTTTGTACAAAATACTTATTTTTAAAATGTGTATAAATGTCATTACTTCTTTTTAAAATCTAATAATTTTAAATGTGTTTTAAAGATTACAATACCTGACACTGCCTTATGATTCAAGCAGTCCAGAAATGGACAACACTCATTTTGATGTTTCTAAAATTTATCGTCAGATCCAATAAAAATTGAATAATTCGAACATTGCTAGTAAGGTCACGTCACAGTATAAAATTTCATTTGAACATTTACATAACCGATTTAAAAAACGGTAGGCCTTTTTAACTAATGTTGACATAATCACCCTATTGATATTTGTATACACTTGCAATCCAGTTTATTGAATACAATATAATGGAGTATTATTATATTTTTAAAAATATCTTTAGAATTTTAATTTGAAAGCGTTTCTATTATTACAGCGATGTCGTCAATCTACTTGGCTCTTGCTTTAATTCTAACATTTAGTTTAAATTTTTCTCTCGTTATAAGTGATGATGAAGATCTGGATGTGAAAGGACCATTAATGTTCAAGAACCCAGATGGCAGTCTCATGACAACCGTAAGTATGATCATTGTCAATTGATTTTTTAGATTATTTTAAACATTCTTGCTACCAAGACTGATTGTACGAATAATATAATATAATATTTTTAGATTAGAGATTAATACCCCACCTTATTCTTTGTTATTCTACGCCATGGTTATTTTTTATTGTTGAAGTGAATGGACCTTGCTATGGTGTTGACCATCGTGATGATGATGTCTGCAATTTAGTATGGTAAATCCTGCATTCAAAGCATACGTCAGACAAGAACGCGTCTTTGCAAGGTCCATGCTGTTGATGCTACAGATTACCAAATTTTACCATAATGATGTAGATACGACAATCATAGGTCTTGTCATGAGTTGGACATGAGATTAGGGATGAGCATTGATAGGTCAACTATCGATGTTCACCATCGATGGTAACATCGGGACGTCAACCATCGATTTACCGATAACATCGTTGCGAAAACATCAATGTTTTTGGGACTAAACATTGATGTTTTTTTTTCAGTTTTTCGTCTGCTCTCTGTACTCTCCAGTAATGGAAAACACCAATATCTCAATACTTGGCCAAAAACATCGATGTTTGACAAAAACATCGGTAACCGACCATCGATGTAAAAAACATTGCACATCGATAGAAATATATTAATGTTTCAAAAACATCAACTATCGATGCTCATCCCTAAATGAGATTACTTTTATAAATGTGCTAGTGTACCTAGCTTAAAACAAGAGGGTAGCTTGCTGCACACAGTTGAAGTTCCATGGATGTAAAAGTCTCCTTCAGCCTTTGCCCATGAAAGTTATTTATGTTGTCTAGGGTCAATTAATAATTAATTGACCCTAGACAACATAAATAACTTTCATGGGCCTGTGGAAAGGACTTCCCACAGTCCTTTCCACAGGCCCATGAAAGATATGAATAGGTTGGATAAGTAACTTCTTACCATTTAATTTTAAGGGTTAGGTACAGAAAAACACTGGTTTATTTCATTGTTGCTGTGTATGATAGTTGGGTCTACAAAATATTTTTTTGTGTTTACTACAAGAGAAAACATCAAGATATCCTTTCCTATATATATTTATATATATACTCTTGAGCAATGTTTGCTTGTATGTATGTAGGCCTGTGCTTTCACAGAGATCTCGAAAACGCCCTCAAAATGTTATTTCCTTGAAATGTTGTAAATAATTTATATCTGGCCTAAAAACGTGTTTACTGCAGTTAAAACTGCATAAAAAATTTAGTTAAAAGTCAAAAAATTTTAAGATCGCCTTATGGGTTGCCATGTAATCATGTTGGTTGAACAAAATAACAGGGAAAAAGTAAACATAAGACTTGTAACATGTGTTTATAATGTAAGCCATCCACAGTATACTAGCAAATTACAAAATATAGTACAAAGGGGAAAACATCAGTTGTTACTATTGAGCAAAGATTACACTGAAGTTTAACAATGGAAATAAACTATACCGAGCCATGGCTCAGTCCCCAGATACTTAAAATATATTCAGACAAAGTTAGATACTCTCCTAACTAAGTTTAACTTCACCTCATTACAGAAGCAGCAGATAGAGGCTCGTAAGTACAGCGGTGAGTCACACACAGTGACAACTGATGATGGCTACCTACTGACTCTCTTCAGAGTCATCCCCGCCAAGCAACCTGCCACTGTAGTTCTACTGCAGCATGCACTACTAATGTCATCTGACGCCTGGGTTACTGATAATAAATCCCTGGGTTAGTGTCTGTCAATATTAACTGTTAATTTTATAGAAATGTAGATGTCATTCGTCAAATGAGATGTTGATGAAGGCAGTCGAACAGTTATTCCATGTTCTTCTTGGCAAGCAGAAATGACATAACAAAAGTGTGCATGTTTATTTGTTCATTCTTTAAACGGAACATAAGGTCTGTACATTATGAGTTTTTTGACTTGAAAAGTAAGTCAGCTATCACATCTGAATCCAGTACTCTTCAAAAACCGAATGACTTGAACCAGGTGTATCGCCTTCACTTGCCATCTCAGTAGGCTCAATACAACTTTCTGTGTCAATGGACATCAACAAAGTATAGTGCCGTGTGCAGTGTTGGGGAGGCGACTTGTAGTCGTGTTTTGCTCATAAGTACATCCCTGCTACAGATTCGCCCCACATCCACTCAGTGACTTAAGATTATCTCTGGTTATCATAGTTGCAGGTGCAGGCAACCAAAGTCCTGTCTGTTTGTGCTTTGCCTTAGCCTATTAAAGGGCTCTTTAAGTATTCATAGGAGATGGATGTATAAAAATGTATATTGAAATAAGTTTTTTTTTCTTTTTTCATCCTGTTGCGCAAAAAGTACTATTTAATGTGATAATTTGCATATTACATAATAAAACATTACATTTAAAAATACTAGCTACTTGGGATGTATAAAAAAATAAAATGAAAGCTCAATAGAGCAATGGGGGAATTGCGGCACCATCTTCAAATTGAATGCTTCAAATTTTTCGTCTAGTTCCCCGTAGCCTAAGCGAAACTGCTCGAATGATGGAAAGCTGGCTTTGGATCCTCAACCATCCGATAATTTGGGAGTATGGTTTTCTCCATTTTACAGCCAGGGCTTCGCTTGTTCTCCTCTGAAACGCTTCATATTCTTTGTGGGGGACTCCTTCCGTGGAACATAATAATGGTGTGAAGCTTCCTCTGATGTCTTCGGCTGCTTTGTCATATTTATTGTGTTTCTGAACGGCATGGTTTCGAGATATTGTTCCCCATTCTTGGTTGGCGTAAGAGGGAGCGTCAGCATTAACAATGCGATTATCAAAAAACGCTACTCTCTCAGCCTCCCAAATACCATTAACTTTAAAATCAGCTTTTAAAGCAGGCACATTGTTTGCGGGGTCAGCTTCTCTCATAATAGGCTCGACTTCAACCCCTTTCCAGGCCATAGGCCTATTTGCTATCGCAGCACAGTGGTCTCGATGTTGATCATGCCCATGTTTGATCAATCCTCCTTTTTTACAATTTAAAGCATGTGTAAGATTCATAGGTTGATCACAACCGTCGGATTTCTTAAACTATGTCATCGCTTGTTTTAGATGGCCAAGTGAATGACTTTTAAAAACACCATGGTCCCACAAAACTCATTAAACCAGCATCAAATATTTATCATCAAGTAGATTTAAATTTAGTTTAATTTAGCTATCGATATAAATTCTGCAAACCACAGATTGCACCTTCTGTTGCGCCGTAAACATCGTACTGGTGACTGGCGTGGGGCGTGTGAGTCACATTAGCGGCCTACCACCGGCAACTGTTTTGCACATGCCAAGGTCTAAGTTTCTTCCCTTGCTACACGGGAAACAAAACTTAGTTATTTTAGCTTCAATTTGACGTATAAAACGTTTAGTTACCTTGAATACTACCCAAGCCATTACCATTTAAAGTCCCAGCATTCTTTTATAAACACCCTTTACTTAGAGGTGGCCAATTCCCTTTTGGTTTATATCATTGCTGTCACCAATCATTAACCCTTTTGCGGTCGTATGCCGGGTATGACCCGGGTTTATAGTCTGCCCCGAACGGTCGTAACCCGGGAAATACCCGGCAGCACTTAAATAGGTTGTTTTTTAATTGTAAATACTGTTATTTAATTAAAGATACTGTTCCGTGGCGTTTTTAGGGTTTTCATTTAATTACATATAGCAACCGCAGGGGGCTCACGCTTGCGTGGGTTCGTGGCCTGGGCGACCACGCGGACCCTAGCTCTCCCAGAGGGGAGGTAACTGCCCGGTGTCAGACCCGGCACTTCAGGTAGACCACAGTTATGGACGACTGGTAAGCGCCAGCCCCTTAGGGGGAGCCTCCAGTGACATTCCCTCCATTCAGGGTGGGGGGGGTGTTTAGCTCTCAGTGACGCCGTTAATTCCGCCTCTCCTCAACTACCTGTAACTGTGGTTGTGACTGAGTCCTACCTGTTGTGTTCGACTGACATTTTGTGAGGCATATCCTCGACTTTGGAAGTAGCCTCGTCCTGGGAGGTGAAATACCTAGCCCCCAGAGGGGAGGTAAATGCTCCGTGTTGGTATCGGCATTTCAAGTTGGCCACAGACATGGTCGACTGGGCATCGGGTCCCAGTGACATTCCTTTATCCAGGATGGAGGGGTGTTTAGCTCTAGGAGAGATGGAAGTACATCATAATCTCTAACCTACCTGTGTCTGTGGTACTTTGGGCTTCGGCCTGCTTGTGGTGTGCGACCAGCATTCAGTGGGCAAATCCTCGACTTTGGAAGTAACCTTTCCTGGAGGTGAAAACGGGCAAGTACCCGCAGCTCACGGGGACACTCAAGGGCAACGTAACTTTCCGCAGTGTGAGGGCAACGGTTTGTAGGTACTTATGCAAACCTATCCCTGTCTCTGAGCACGGACGGTATGGTTATCTTGAGTGTGGGGGGTTCTTCCCGGAACCTCAATTGAGTCAAGGGTGTCGCCACCTCTGGTGGATAGGTTCATCCGGGTGGGTCCCACTTCTATACCTGCCTCCTTTTGGGAAACCCTGATGGCCTGGCAGTGATGTTGGGTCTGATGGGCAAACGAAGTAGATCGGGTGCTGGGTCCGAGCCCGCCAGGGGTATCTGGGGATCTATCGCTCTGGATATCTCTGGTTCCCAGCAATGGGTCAGGCCTCGATCGGGCAGCGGTGTAAATGGGAGGTTGGGGTTCCCCCCGTCAGCGTGCTGATGGTCCCCTTCCTCCTGGCTATTGATGGCGGGTTCTGCCTGTCAGGGATGAGATAGGTCCCGAGTGTTGCTTGCACTAAATGCGTCGGGGCGCTCTACTATGGACCTCTAGGTTCCGACCTAGTGGAACCCAGGTGGAGTGACGCTTAAACAAGCAGCCGGAATCCCTGGTTAGGATTGAGGGGCAACCCTCTTTCCGAAGGGTCTGCTTCGGCAGCCGGCGAGCCTGATGACCTTAAGTCATCCGCCCATGATGTGCTAAAGGTTGATGCGTAAGCTTCGGCCTACATCATGGGGCCCGGGTATGTCCTGGAGGATAGGTACCGGGTAAGCAGTCAGGGGGCTTCGGCTCTCATGACAACAAATAATAATAATAATAATAATAATAATAATAATAATAATTACATATAGCTTTTTCTATATTTGGTATTATTTAGAAGCCTTTGGAGTAGGAATTTAGCGAACGATGTCCGTGACTTATTGTTGCTCTCTGGACAGCTGACAGTTGTAAACAAACATAGATCGTGCGGGCGAGTGTCTGTCTAGGCGATGATGATATTGAAAATCTATTAGAAGATGATAATTTGAGTGTAGTTAGTGGTTATAGTGTCGGAAATTATGAAACTATAATTGAAAATGATAGTAACGCAAGTGAAAGTGATGAAAATGAAGAAGTGATTGATGGTGTTGAAATCGAACAAGGAGCTGGTAACACAATTGGTGTTAGTGTAGACTCTGATTTTGTTATTGATTTCGATGATAATATTGATTTCAATAATCATGATCTGAATATACAACAAACTGCAAATAAAAGTATTATTTTTGAAGCTAATGAGCCATTTTCATCTACAGATGAAATTGGTGCAGATGCACAAAACAGTCAGGTAACCGTTGTAGCTGTTATTTTTTTTATTGTACGTTTTTATGCATTTTTTAGCTTTTTATATTTTTTTTTATATATTGATATATTTTATATATATATATATATATATACACATAAAACATATATGCCTAAAATATATATTTTTAATTTGTAATACCTTACTATAAACATAAATAACAAAAAAAAAAACAATATAGTTACCAGATTAAAGGTTTAAAATATTAAATAATGTTGTTTTAACATAGTTTGCTAATCTGCCCAAATTTAATTACGATCTGAGTAAGTTTGCTATTAAAATTAAACCGACCACAAAGGGTTAAGTGTTTTATTCTGAATATAGTAGTGTGATAACTCTCATGGAAACTTCACCACACTCATTCTTTTTGTGGTTTTAGATCAAAACCTCACTAACTCGACTTCCGGTAACTCCGACAGTCAATAGCTGACAGGGCTCACGACTAGCTGGCTTTGTCTTACTACTTGTGCGTTTGAATTTTCATGAAATTTTTTCAAAATATTTAGTTTTTATTGTTGAATACCATTGAACAACCTCTTGGTAAAACTCTTGGTCTACTAGATGTCGAGCTAGTGAGGTTTCACTGTATTATATGTTTTTTATGGATTTTATATAACATATAAAATATTTGAAAATGCGCAAGAGGTTTGATATTTGACCTATTTCAGTTTTCTATATTTTCCTATTCAGCGTTCACGTTGACGGATGCTGGGTATGACGTGTGGATGGCCAATTCTAGAGGTAACTGCTACTCTCGCAAACACACCACTTTTGACCCCGACAAGGATAAGAGCTTCTGGAACTTTGGGTAAAATGTTAAAACTTCTTTGAAATTCTTTTTAAAATATTGTATAAAATATTATTGTATAACAACTAGATGTTAATTTTAAAACAAAATTTTAATTGTTCTATTGCCAAATCACCCTAAAAATTACAAAGTGATAATGTAAATTTGTTTGATAACTTTGAGCCCCAAAGGCAAATCTAATGACTACTCGTATCTAAAGTAACATAACCGAGCTAGGTGTTCGCCTGTCTGCGATAGAGCTTGGAAGGACAGGCACACTGAAACTTATGACGTGCTAGTTTACACCTCAAACCAGGCGGTTTATAATTCTTACCCATCTTTACACCTCTATCTTATATTTTGTTTGTCTCTATGTTATCTTTTGTAGATCTGTCCACAAAAAAACTATATCTTTATACAATTATATACTTAATGTTCCGAAGATAAGTGAAAAATGCAATAAATTAAATATTTTGCTAAGGTCCCCGTAGTTTTCTTATTGTTTTTTCTTAGCTAGGACTAAGAAATTGGTCCTAATTGTGTAATTGGTAACTTAATGCGTTGATGAAGGTCCGCAATCCTAAGTTCTTGTAGAATGTGTCATTCTTTAAGGTCTGCACTTTGAAGTTCTTGTAGCCTAGATGTGAGTAAATCAATTGTATGTCGGCCTAGGTAGTACATTTTGTGTGTTGGTGGACTGGCTTCGGGAGGTGTGAATAACTAACTCCACAATAAGAAAATGTCAGTATGTCACAAAATCACACAACTTTACTTCTCGTAACTATATCTTTCATGAACTCGGCGATACATACCGATGATAAAGGTTTCAAATTAAAATTTATAAACTTGTGGAGTGGTGATAGTCCTATAACCGTCACTGCGCACTCACACAGTGGTCACATGGCGGCTGCGAATATCCTCGACCTCCCATTGCTGCGCACACTGCCTCTTGAATCCCACGCAACATGCGTTGTCTATTCCCCCTGGTGGCCTTTTTTGGCACTTTTTACTATGTATTTTTGGATCTTTGTTACCGACGCTCCGTCAAGTGGCGCGCCTGGTGTTCTTTTTTGTAAATTTGTATTGATTTTACTTTAGAAATCAAGTTGTAACTGAAATTTTCTATATCTCTTAAAAATGTTGTTCACATCCATTCCCACAGGAACTTCACAAATATATTTTTAAGTTTTTTGGTCATTACTGAATTTATTTTACTCCACAACATATTAATTGACTATTATTTAAATAAAGACTTGAACTATCACAATTAATTTTAATGGTATATTCACTATTAAAAGAAAAAGGAAACCTTTTTTGAAAACATCAAACAGGATAAAATAAAAATACCAATCAATTGAACATAAAATGAGCTAGGTGTAGGTATACCTGCCTCAAAATTCAGCATTACAAACCCAAACAGTAGAAGAATCTATGGTTGTTTCTTGCTTTTATTTGCAATAGTCGACGATTGGCTTTTTAAGAATTCCCTCACGATCAACACACTGTAAAGCCAAAATTACACTCTTTAATATTGTTGTGTTGTTCATAAAATAGAGATACAAGCCGTAGGGATCAAAAGTTGAAAGTAATAAGTTAACAAGACTATTTGACTATATACATAAATAACCCGTTTTCATTCTATTAGGCTTCATGAGTTGGGAACCAAAGATTTGCCAGCAGTGATTGACTACATACTCAAGACTACAGGACAGACCAAACTACACCTTGCAGCACATTCTGGAGGCAACTCCATGGCCTTTGCGATGGCTTCTCAGAAGCCAGAGTACAACGACAAGCTCAAGTCACTCCAGGCTCTGTCTCCCTTTGTGTTTGTCAGCAAGATGGCCGAGATGATCGGACCTGATGGCATGGTGGAGGCAATGACTGCTCAGTACATTGTAAGTACAAGCTGAATGCAACACTAGCACTCCTAGGTGAGATTCTAGTTATTAAACTCCTTATTTGAAAGTGGGTTAGCAGTACGGCTGTTAATCTTTTGATCAGTACGGCATTGAAAAACGCCATGACAAGCTTCTCTCTTGACATAATTTGAAAGGTTAAATGAGTGAGACGTAAGGAAATCAGAAACCAGATTAGTAGTAAGGAGCTAAGATTAGTAGGAGTAAGAGGCTCGTGCAGACTCCTTGGCGGGGGAGGGTAGAACGAGAAATCGGGTAAAGAGTTGGAATCAGAAAGTATAGATAAACCTGTAAAAGGTTATAAATAAATAAATAAATAAAAATGCCTTTATTTATCAAGCGTTTCTCAGTATAAATACTGCTTCTCAGAACAACTTTCGTCAATAACAATATAAAACTAACAACAAATAAATAGAGCAATAACAAAACAGAAACAAGACAATATGAGTAACAATAATTAACCATCAGTGCACAATTCTTTGATCTTAACTCTAAATGATGATAAAGAATATTTTTTGAGGCCAGAGGGGAGGTCGTTGTACAGTTTTGGACCGAAGTACGAGAAGCTTCGTCTCCCAAACTCAAGCCTCACTCTTGGAAAGTGAAGCTGGAGACCACCATGGCGGGTACTGCGCTGAGAGACCTCCTCCCGGAAAGAGAGCCTCTCAAGAAGGTACTGTGGCTCCTGTAAGACAAGAGCCTTGTGCACCATGCAGCACGTCATGATCCTGCAAACAGTGTCTACTGTTGTCATCCCCGCTACAGCTCTATAGGGAGAGATATGTTCAAATTTTTTGAGGCAAAATATGAAGCGAATAGCTGAATTTGCAGTTTCTGCATTCGGGTCATGTCTACTCCAGAGATGCTGTTTCCATAAGCAGGGAGACAATATGTAAACACCGACAGGACTAGTGACTGCATGAGGCGCAGCTTCGCAGATTCTGTCAGCAGACTTCTAAACCTGTACAGCCCTCTCAGCCTTCCTAACGCGCGCTGCGAAGCATGTGTGACATGGTCAGAGAAGGTGAGGCTGCTATCAAGCACAACGCCAAGAGTCTTTGACTTGTCACACAAAGTCAAAGATTCCCCGTTGAGCACAACACTCACTCCTCTCTCGCTGAGGGACTGCACCAAGTCTTGTGGCGCCGTATGCATCACAGTACACTTGCCAGTATTGAGTTTCAACCCATTTGCTTCTGACCACAAAAGGATTTTTCTTAGATCAGAGTTAATGAGATCGAGTGAAGCTCTAATCTGGGATGGCTCATAAGACAAGTGCAGCTGTGAGTCATCGGCATACAAATGAACTGTACAATGTTGCACACAGCTAGGAAGGTCTGCCGTGTACAAATTGAACAGAACAGGCCCAAGACAGCTGCCTTGGGGAATTCCTTGGGTTTTGACAAGCGGGGTTGATGTTTCACTCTCTAACTGCGTCACTTGCAGCCTGGAGTCTAAGTATGACCTTATCCATTTCAAAATATTTTTGTCAAAGCCATAATATTTCATTTTGGCCAATAGCATCTCATAGTTCATTGAATCAAATGCCTTTGAATAGTCCAGCATAACTAGAGAACTATATTTACCCTTGTCTTTGGTGTCAATCATATCACTAAATAAGTTCGTCAGGGCTGTACATGTGCTATGGTTAGGTCTAAATCCAGACTGAAGTTTGGGTAATATATTTTGTGTGTTTATGTAGCTGACTATTTGGCGAATAGCTATCTTCTCTAATATCTTTGACATAGCTGGTAATATTGAGATTGGCCTTAGGTCTTCGACTTTTCTTGGGGCTGTAAGTTTGGGTAATGGTCGGATAATACTAATTTTCCAGGACTTAGGAAATTGTCCCTTGTCTAGTGATAGATTTATCAGATGGGTAATTGATTTTATCGCATACGGACTGACAGTTTTAATCATTTCAATTGAAATTTCATCGCTACCCACTGCTTTAGATTTGATCTCATTCATTACATCCATAACCTCTTTTTCACTGACATATTGAAAATTGAAGGTGTTTATAATGCCATCTCGTTTATTATCCATAAAATATTCCCAAAGCTGTTTATCAATATCGGTCTCAGCTCCCATGTTTACAAAATATTCGTTAATCTCATTAGCTTGTAGATCATGTGGAATGCTTGAGTTGCTCTTAGAGCCAACTATATCATTTAGTGCAGGTAAAATTATACTAAAAAACCAGTAGAAAACATAAAAATTAGTCCATTCATGAAACTTGCAGGAAACGTAGTAATTACCATTAGGTTTTGAAATCTGATGAGTCCCTAGTGATTGTGGGGGTGGAAGTACCATTTTATGGGGTTAAAGTTTATGGGGGTAGTGATTTTGAGAAAATTTGTATTTATGGGATCCAAGCAAGTGAGGTGTCGTTTTCTATGTTTTTTCAGATGCAGAATCGAAAAAGAACAAAATAAAATCCATACAACCGACGGTTTATTAAAAAAAGACTAATTTATTAATGAAAAACTAAATATGACAAATTAATTAAGGTAAAATAATCCAGTGAATATCAATTTCTGTATTACAAAATTGACTATGAGTCTGTGCCAAATGTTAAAGTTGTGAGGAAAATTAACCAAGAAACTGGTAGTTTCGCCTCTTTAACCACCACGTGTCATATTGTTCATCAGCTACTGATGCATCATCACCATCCATGGAATGGTCAGGGTCTCTTAACTCGTTCTTCTCCATCGTCGTCTTGACGGCTAAGTATGGGTAGCAAACATATTTCAGTTCTGGCGGTGATCCTGCAACTTATGGTGAAGATAATATATAAGACCAAGAATGTAAAACCGCTCGGATCCCAATTTTTAAGGACCTTGGTCACCCGTAATTACGTCGTCAATATGGCGCTCGTAAGAGGATGCTGGGTCGCTATGAATTAATAAATGCCTGAACCGATTTTAATGAAATTTGGCATACAAGTGCTTGAATACAATATCTAATCCCAGTTTGTCAATGGTCGAGTTTGATTAGGTCATATCAAAATGGTGGCCGTTAATCACTAAAATAATTAAAAATTGTTTAGTGCTTTGTTTTATCAACTCTCTCCAGAAATCTGCAGCAATCTTTCATTTTCCTTGCAATCATAGGTCGTGATGCCGTCTCTGTATTTCCTGGAATAGGAAAAATACCCCCACCGCAGCAAACCTTCAGATTAAGTGAGTTTCCATTTGCCTGATTTGATTTTCAATTAAATCTATTTCAATAACCTAAAGTTTAATTAGTGTTAACTAGGTTTCCTGCTATGGGGAGGGTAATAAAGTGTGTTTTTAATTAAAATATGAATAGGTTAAAATAAATAAATTGTCCGAGTTTTATCAAAATATATACATAAACTAGCAAAATATCCAATCATGGTATTCAAAATGGCTTAGAGAGAAATTCGAAACTTTTACGTTTAGAGGTGCAAATATGAGAAAACCGAATTTTTACCCCATAAATCCCCCAGAAAACCCTGTTCTCATGGTTCGATCATGCTGGTTCGCAAACTCGTTCGAGTAAACGTAGGTTTACACGTTTTTACCAAATTTCGTCAACATTGGGTCATTTTTGCTTGAGTTATCGTGCTAACGTTCTTTAAAAAGTACACGTCAACAGTCATTAACGCTGTTAAAGTTTGATGTTATGTCATATAGAAAAGTACAACAAATCTTTAGATTGATTTTAACGAGTTTACAATCCAGCATGATCAGACCATGGGAACGGGGTTTTTGGGGGGATTTATGGGGTCAAAATTGGGTTTCGTCATGACTAACCTTCTACACATAAAGTTTTCCAATTTCTCTCTAAACAATTTTGGATACCATGATGATTTTGAATATCTTAAAACCCAATAATTTTGTTTATTTAAGTGTTTTTGTACGAATATTGGTTACCTATTGAGAAAATTCAAAAATTGTAAATTGATCATTCTCATTTTATTCTTATGGAGAATTAGTAAACTGTTGTAATTTGCTCGTTTAAGGATATATTTAGATAAAACTAGGCAAATTTATTTATTTTGACCTTGGCTATTAATATTTGAATAAAAAACACACTTTATTATCCTCTCCGTAGCAGTAAACCTAGGTACTAATTAAACTCAATTAAAATATATTTAATTGAAAATCAAATCAGGCAAATGGAAACTCACTTAATCTGCAGGTTTGCTGCAGAGGGGGTATTTTGCCTATTCCAGGAAATACAGAGACGACATCACGACCTATGATTTCAAGGAAAATGAAAGATTGCTGCAGATTTCTGGAGAGAGTTGATAAAACAAAACATTAAACAATTTTTAATTATTTTAGTGATTAACGTTCGCCATTTTGAAATGACCTAATCAAACTCGACCATTGATAAACTGGGATTATATATCGTATTCAAGCACTTGTAAGCCAAATTTCATCAAAATCGGTTTAGGCGTTTTGGTATTACAGTATAACCAATTCATAGCGACCCAGCACCCTCTTACGAGCTCCATATTGATGACGTCATTACGGGCGGCCAAGGTCCTTAAAAATTGGGGTCCGAGCGGTTTTACATTCTTGGTCTCATATATTATCTTCACCCTAAGTGGCAGGATCGCCGCCAGAACGGAAATATTTTTCTACTACCCATACTCACTTAGTTGTCAGTGTCAAGTCAAGACGACGTTGGAGAAGAACGAGTTAGAGACCCTGACCCATGGATGGTGATGATGCATCAGTAGCTGATGAACCTTATGACACGTGGTGGTTACAGAGGCGAAACTACCAGTTTCTTGGTTAATTATCCTCACAACTTTAACACGTGACACAGACTCATGGTCAGTTTTGTAATAATTGATGTTCACTGGATTATTTTACCTTAATTAATTTGTCATATTTAGTTTTTCATTAAAAAAATAGCCTTTTTCTAGTAAAATGTTGATTGTATTGCTTTTATTATGTTCTTTTTCGATTCTGCATCCTAAGAAACATAGAAAACAACACCTCACTTGCTTGGATCCCATAAATACAAATTTTCTCAAAATCACTACCCCCATAAAGTTTAACCCCCATAAAATGGTACTTCCACCCCCACAATCACTAGGGACTCTTCAGATTTCAAAACCTAATGTTAATTACTACGTTTCCTGCAAGTTTCATGAATGGACTAATTTTTATGTTTTATTAGGTGAGTTTTACCTGTACTACATTCCTTTTGAGGCACGTCCAAAATTCTTTTGGGTCTTTTGAGGACGATAGTTTATCAGAAAAATATGTCTTTTTCGCACTCCAGATCATATTATTTAACCTATTTCTAACGCCCTTATCCTCTACTGACATTGGATAAATTTTTGGAATTGCTTATTGACAAGATAACTGGTTACTAAAAAGAACATCTAGTCAAATTTAGTTTTTTTATTGTTAATATAACTATAAAATTAATTAACTATCAAGATATTCTCTATTTAAGTGAGATGAGCCAACTGATGACTGAGAGAAGATAAATACCCCCGCCGCAGCAAACCTGCAGATTTAGCGAATTTCCATTTGCCTGATGGATTTAAACTCAAATGTCTCCTTAAAAATATCACATTTATTCCCTATTTAACCAGAATTAGTTTAATGAGTACTTTGGTTTGCTGCAACAGGGAGGGTAAAAAAGTGTTTTTTAATGTATAATGTTAAAAGGTACTGTGGTTTAGTAAGAAATTAATGTATTTTCTAAATTTGATCAAAATATGTTCATAAACAAGCAAACTACAACAGTTGACTTATTCTCCATAAGAATAACATGGGAATTTTAAAATTACAATTTTTTTTAATTTCTCCGTAACAATTAGGCGCATAATAACGCTTCAATATACAAAATTATTTGTTTTTTAAGCTCTACAAATGGTTTGAAAAGAAATTGTGAAATTTTGTGTTTTTAGGGTCACAAATGGGAAAAACCTATTGTTACCCCATAAAACCCCCCATAAACCCCCGATCCCATAGTCCGATCATGCTGGTTCGCGAACTCATTCTAGTTTATCACGTCTTACACCTTCATACCAAATTTTATCAAAATCGGACAAAAATTACTCAAGTTATCGTGCGGATGGACACATGTATATCTCTCTCTATATATAGATATATAAAAATTTGAACGAATGGTGTTTTTGGCCTCTGGGGACATCAAAATGAAAAAGTAAATCGGTCCCGGGCCTAGGTGTTACCATGAGACCTACGGTAATAGCTACTTCCCTATAGGGAAATTCGCTAAAAGAGCAGAAGACCCAAGTAAAGAGAGCTTCAAGATACAGAATTCTTATGAAGTTGTAATTATAAAATAGTGTTTAGTTTATGTGTTTAATTAATATGATTGTTTATTAATATTACAATAATTAATATTACAGTACAACAGATTTATTTAATTAACTAGCAGAGTACCCGTCCTTCGTACGGGGTTGGAAAATAAGTATAATTGTAGTTATACTCGACCTTTGTGTTTGCAATGTGAGAAGACACGGTTTGAGAAAATTGGCTTCCTCAAATTTATGGTATGCTATAGTATTACACATATAGCCATAATGTTCTACCACTTCACCTACACAATAGAGAAAGATAGATTATTAAAAATTCGCAAAATATCACAAATTATTCATGAAATAAAACAAAATAAACATAACTGTAATAAATATCCTACTTTGACAGTTCTCATTGCGTATCACAGTTTTTTGTTGCTGAAAAAATAATAGTGCTGCACCCTGTTGGTAAATCTTATAAATTTTTAATGCTTTTGCATATAATAGAACCAACTCTTTTAGTTGACACAGCTGGCTAAATTTGTTAATTCCCTTTAAAAATATGAATATTCGTAAGGTTAACATGGGGAACTGCAGAGCCACTGGGGCGGAGTTCGAAAGGATTTTTGAGATATGAATATGCCTATATGTTAATCGGGAATGTGAGCTATCATCATGCCAAATTTCAGCCCAATCCGAACAGTATTTTCCGTGTTTACTTATCACAAACATACATACATACATACATCCAAACTCTCTCATTTATAATATTAGTAGGATTAATTTATTTATTTATTTCTGTTTAAATGGGTCTCCAATGCATTTTCACTGAGGAAACCCCTAAATCATTACCACTGTCACTGGTCATTTACATAATCTCTAAAGAATATTTCTTGGGGGGCCAATCATTTCTCTGCTACAAATTATAACTCTTTTGTGCATTGTATGTTATCAGGACCAGATCAAGGCAGCAGATAAGTGGGAAATGTTTCCTCGTAAGGACTTTGTCAAAAACAACAAAACACAGGTCACTTGCGAAGATGTAGAAGAAAACTATAGATCAATGTGCTCAGAAAAGATGGAAGTAAGTAATTAAATATTCGTCTGATATAAATTTATTTTGCTGTTTTTATAGCGCAATGACAGCTTTAAGTTTTTTTATAAAGAAGACAGAGTTCCTGGTATGGTTTTTTTGTAACATCTTTAAGATCAAGGTCTAAATTAAATCCTAATTCATGCGTTGACATTTGCAAATGAGGCATCTTACAGTTTTTAATTAATTGTAGGCGTACTCATCTTGCTTGTCAGAAACACTATTTAAAATCTGTTCCATCTGGGTTTGTGTTAAACAAATATAAAATGGCAGTTATTATGTTGGGTTCGTCCAACATGTAATTTTTAACACCGTCTGTTTATTCTGATTCCAAGTTATGAGTAAATTTTGTTTGAATGAAAGCTATTAGTTACAATATTTCAAAAGGGAAATATAAATTGAGACATTTTTATACTGGCTAATGAGTTGAATTTGAATTTTTTGTTCATGTATGATCTTCAAAGTTAAAATTGTGTGAAGTTGTTATTAAGATGAGCAAGATGTGTTGAGGTATCTCCGTCACATTGTTTTCCTACCAGTTCAGTTTGTTTGTAACCACATTAAAAAGTATGTTGTCAATTTAAGGTTGACAGTTAACCATTCTTGTTGATTTAAAATAGGTTTTTAGTTCTTTCATCATTACTAAATCATTTCTTCCAACCAATGTGAGTGTTTTGTCAACAGATGGTCCATGAAATCCTTGGAGGAGCCTACATCCCAGCTGGTCAGTCTACCAAGGCAGTCTTGCACTTTTACCAGATAGGTGTAGCAGGTAAAAACCAAAATGTTCCCGAGGTTTTCACGTGTTTGTTGAACTGTACAGAAATTATCAAAATTCAAATTCAAATTATTTATTAACTCATAACATCTTTTGGAGTACAATGTACATAGATAGGAGTTTTGTCAATATTTATAAAACTAATACTACACTGATATATTTAATATAACTAATTACAATTATTCAAACTTTAAAAATGTAATAGTAATACTGTAAACTAACTAAAGCATTTCATTTCATACATTTGTACAAAAAGAAAAAAAATTCTGTCAATTCTTAAAACTAAGCTCAAACTACATGACGAAATACCAGTCTTGGTCTGTATCAGGACAGGATATAGGCTTTGTCCTGTATATAATTCTACTACAGCAACAAAAAAATAAATAAATAAATAAATAAATAAAATAAAAATAATAAGGATTCTTTCTTAAACCATGCTAAACCAAAAAAGTCCCAAAGCCAACACAACTTACCACAACTTACACAACTTACCCACTTACTTAGGGTTAGTTTTACAACTTACCCTTCAAAATTATCCAGAAAAAATTCTTCAATGCTATAGTAAGATTTTTCCAATAATAATTTATGTAAGGTATTTTTGCATATGGTTTTTGATAGCTTGTTAAAAATTTTGATATCCATGTTTTTGGACTATTTTCATACAGAGAAAGTCTATGGTGTGGATATTGAAATAAGTGTGAGTGGCTACTTATCTACCTAATAATGTTTGTGTAATCTAGGTGTCATGAACTATTACAAGTTTGACACTCCAGAAGAGAATGAGAAGGCTTATGGTACCAAAGAGCCTCCTTCGTACACCAAAGACTTCAAGAATATCACTGCACCGACCATTTTGTGGACTGGTGAACATGACGGGCTGATTCAGACTCAGGTGAGCACTAAAATTTTTTTCCATACTGAGTAAGAATCAACCATTTGTAAACATTTGATTAGTTATTAATTCTTTGAGATAATGTCACAGACTTGGGGTGTATTTTAAGCTGAATAATGCATGGTGAGTGTAGAATGGGGGGAAATGATCTTTTCACCACACTATGATAAAACTAATAAAATAAAATAAAATAACACATGTAAATAAAATAAAATAAAATAAAATAAAATAAAATGATGTTTTTGGCTGTATTACATACGTTAATTGGTGGCTGAAAGTTACGTTTTGCTGGCCATCCCAGCTGTCATCGTAATTTGGGGACCGAGCAGGTTTTTACATCCCGGGGCCGCAAAATCAGCTGTCTGCTTACTTACTTAAAACATGAATGCATTTTAAATACACAATCAAAATCCATAGCGTTGCAATAGAATTGTGTTATTGTCACCGTTGCCTAGCAACTATTTATTTTTATTTTTGCTGATTCCTCAAATTATTTCTTCACATAACCTTAAAGTTGTAGTTTTGTTGACTATCAGTGTGCATTATTATAGTGTGAATAGTGGTAATAGGGTATAGTGTAGTGAAAAATAGAGTTCGTACCACGGACCGAAATGGTTTTGCAGCTCTCGGTCGATTTAAGTTCTCGACTTTGTCTCGAACTTAAAAACTATCTCGAGCCGGCAAAACCTTATTTTCGGCCCTAGGTACGAAATATACTATTGTAGCTTTGTTACTGACTAAGATCAATCAGCTGTTTTATAAGTCATGATTAAACAATAAATATCCAAACACTTTGTTCCAATTCAATTCCAGCACTGTGCATCAAATATAATTCCTCAGATACTTATTCTTCAAAAAGTTTGGATACTTCACATTTGATGTATCTTACCACACCCTTTTAAACTTTTTAAACCGTCAGTTTAAAGCGAGTGATATGGGGATGCTTATCTTTTTATATGCACTAGTCAATGATAAGGTTGATGACAACGAGCTTTTATCTCGTTTAGCGTTCCTTTTTCACCGACTCTCTTCCAGAGCCTGCGCCTTGTTCAGTCCGTCCTTCTCACGGACTTGCCTAGGGGCTCAATCTCCCATCAACACATTGATGAGACTATAATTCATTATCATACAACATTGACACTTTTAACTCGAGCCTCTTATAAAAAAATCCTAAGTCTCACATAATAGTTAATGTTATTTATTTCTCTCTCCTTCATCAGTTTTAGTGTTTCTCATATTTTGCTTCTTATCTTATTTATTTTTGTTATTCTTAATCACTTTTATTTATTGTTAATATTATTTATTGTTGTTATTTACTAATTAATATTTATTATTATTCGTAGTCTATGAATGTTTCAATGTGTATAAATGCAATTTGTATTCGGAAGAGCTTAAAACTCTTAAGACTCAAAGGGTAATTGTGTTTGGGTTGGTTAGGGGTAAGATTATCAAGATATGTAGTGCATGCATTTGGCTTTTTTTGCTAATTTAATGGTCTTAATTGAAAGATGAAATTCTAAACATTTTTTAATAATAGCAACAATCAGTTTTTGTAGGTGTGTTGTCTTCTTTTTTTGTCTTGTTTGATGCAAAGTGAACCAGTTTGGTTTAAACTCATGAAAATTAGTTCATATGACTGCTTGGTTTACATTAAAGCACATAAATTATGACAAATAATGTCGTAGAGTATCCATTGAAAATCACCAGAAGTTATTGAAAAGGTAAATACTTAAGTTTTGTTCTTCCAAGAGATGAAGAGGTTGAATTGGCAAAAATACTGGTTGTAGTTTTGGATGCCATACATTTTCGGGCAATCTACAATTCAACATACAAATCAACATCATTTGAAGCTTAGATTGCCTGAAACTGACCTTACTACATCACATCCAAAATGTTGGTCAGTATTTTGATTTTCATTAATCCGTTACACCATCTCTAGAGAAGCAAAAGTCCCCAGTTTACTTTGACTGTGGAAGTCTCCCGTCTGGTTGCTTAGTACTTTTACATTGTGTTATACATAAAATATTACCAAGGTACCGTAAGTGATCTGTATAATGTGTTTAACGTTAAGCAATGCAATATAAGACTTTGACCAAGGTTATACATTTGCAGGATGTTGATAACTTGAAGCCTCTTTTGGGAAATTTGGTTGCTGACTACCGTATCCCAGATGACTGCTTTGACATTTCCACCTTCAATTACGCTAGGAAGGTCGCTTGTTCTTCTGTCAGAGAAAGAGTGTACAAGGAACTCATTGAGTCTCTCAAGAAGTTTGACTAGAACTTCACACTTATAACTCCAATTACAGATTATTTCACAATAATCTCTGTAGTTTTGTTTCCTTCTACACTACTGCTAATAAAGTCAACAATTAGTTATACTAACTCTATTACACTTACTGTAGTATAATTAATACTGTTACTGCACTAACGTCTGTTAACAAAATTTAAGCGCTTTGAGGGGAAGTTTTCTTACCACTTTTTTACTTAAATGATCATAGACATAAAGAATTATTAAATATAGACTGTCAGCTGTGCTGCGATTACCATTGTTTCTGGCGCACACCGCTGGGAGCGCCATGCAGGTATGGCGTTGGCACTACGTAACTGCACGGTGTTCCCAGCGGTGTGCGCCAGAACCTATGGTAACCGCCAGAACCTATGGTAACCGCAGCACTGCTGACAGTCTATATTTAATTCTTTTTGTCTATGGTATGATTGAGGTGTTGGCAAACCTCAGCTGTTTTAAAAGGTATGAGCAAGTGAGGGTAGATTTCTTCCCCTAAAACTGCCTAAATTTTGTGAACAGAGTATGAGCTTTCACAGTTTTTGTTTCTGGGTACACTTGACAGCAAGTTAAAGAAACTGCCGCTTTATCAGTTAAACGTTCATGGGTTACCGAAGTAATAAGTGAAAAGTATAAAACACTTCCCTATGCATTTAATCATTGAACATACAGTCATTGTCAGCTTTTCTAGTATTCTATAAAAATAATAATCCATCACGTACAAGTTATTTTGTGTCGCTTAGTAAACATTGATTTCTCTTTGGCTTTGTTTAATTATTGGTAAATATTTCTCCAAAAAAATCTGTAAAACTACACTAGAGGAACACTTCTCATTTAATAACTTGCCTGTTTGATCTGTTTTACTATGAATTTTTACCAAACGTTTAGTCCCTCCCTTTCTGAAACTATTGTGTACCCAAGTTTTAGATCATTTTGAACTGATGAAAGTAAAATGAATGAGCATGAATTTATTTAATAAATAATCAAATCGTTTGGTTGCAAACATAATACTGGTAAAGTTTACATCAAGATTTTTAATGACAGAAGAATATCACTGTTGATTAAAAGTTATCAATTAAAATAGTGATTTTCCTTATAAATACAATACATACAGTGTTTGAATAGTAGTTATCTCCATGCACATCCTCTGAGTTACAACTGAGGTCGCATAATTATTTGGTATCACAGGATGAGATCGGTGACACTAGATGTGATATGTGATATTGTGGACAAACCATTAGTTACCTTGGCACACTGATGAGCTACACCCAACACTCCAGGTAACTTGTCGCCAGATCTGAGCTTTCATATTAAGTATAAATATTTGATAGCTGTTGTCAAAAAAACTTTAACTATCTTCAGGAAAATGGGTATACATTTTAATAGCTATCTTCAGGTAATTGGTTATTGGTTTATATCTTTAGGAAAACAGGTATCCTAAATATGTTTGATAGCTATCTTCAGGAAAACGGTTAGGTATACATTTTTGATTGCTATCTTTAGGCAAACAGGTATTAAATTTTGATAGCTATCCTCAGGTTCTAAGTTCTGGTTGACATTTATTTCTATATAGTTTTTCCTATTGATATTGTTATTTATCAACAACTAGTTTGTTGTACTAGAGAACCCGTGCGGCTCAATGAGCCGCATAGTATGAAACATAATCCCGAGGAAAATGTTATGCTTAAATTCGAGTAATTCTAGTTACATCTTAGAGTTGTTTAAACACTTGTTAGAAACTTTATTTTAAATGTCTGTATTTACGTCGTCAAGGTTCAACTACATTTGGATAGCAATTTTCATTTTCTCTTTTAGAACAGCGTATATATTTGCCTCTCCTGAATCATTAAAATAAACTTGACTGTAACAACTCGATCGTTGAATACATAAACACTAATTCCTTCACTTATGTTTGGTCTTATATTGTCACTAAAACTTTTAATATTAAATGAGTTTTTGAAACTTCTTATTTTTGACTTGAAATGTCTGGATTGTGTTGGCGAACTCAGTCAAAAAACTTTGTATAAGTTTGACCGAGGAACTGGCAACATAACCTAGAAGTAAACAATCGTTTGCGTTTTTTCTCAATTGAAGTAGAGCGAGTAATACAAAAGTTTACAATAAAAACATAAGGTCCGCCAAGATTTGGTATAATCTTACTACTTAAAATTTTCATAGTCAGCATTAATATATAGTTTGTACTAAATGTTTTGAAATATCTCGATCTGTCAGTGTCAGAAGTAAACATTTCTTGTATGCATTCATTAGACCTGACATTAGCCAAGTATACTTTACCACAGTGACAACACTATGTGCTTAATATATTTTTTTCACTTCCAAAGTAAGTTGCATAGCAGAACTGGCAAATATTATTCATCTCACCTAGTGAATGTGTATCTGGATGGGTATCTGTTAGACCAGACCTCTCTTTTTCTACTCTCCTCATACGCATAAGATATCTTATTATTAATAATTGTCTCCTCCCGTTTTCAATATTTCTTCTTTGAACTTGAGGCATTTTCCGTTTTTCCAACAAAACTGATTAACTGTTTAACTTGGTCTTAACCTACTGTATTACAAACATTAATATTTACTCTCAAAAAGCTAATGAGTTTCTTTTTATAAACAGATGTTTTTGGTTTTTAAATTTCTCCTATGTATTTCTTATGGGGAAAACCCGACCTTTAAAAGAGGGTCTCACGCCCTTCAGAGTATTAATTTTAAAACTCTAAAACCTTATTGCAAAATTACATATTGAGACGAATCTTTTGAGGCCTTAAACGTTGAAATTGGTCCACAAATAAGGGAGGAGTTGCGTTAACAAAAAACGGCTTCACGTATTATATATATAGAATATTATATATATACAGGGTGTCCCGGAACTCTCTACCAATATTTTTGGGCATTGCTCCTGGGTAAGAAACATACCTAAATATCATATTTAAATTTTCCGGAAGTCCTTAGTTACTCACACAGCCGCCATTTTGTTTTTTTCAGTTATTAATTTTTTTCTAAAGAATGGTTAAACATACGAAATGGAAACTTTGCACAAACATTAATGACAACTAGACAAAGCTACAAAAAAATTATGACGATTTTTCAAATTCATAAAACAAAATGGCGGCCATTTAAAATTTTGTTTCTTAATTAACTCAAAAACCGTTGATTTTATAAAAATTTTAAATGGCCACCATTTTGTTTTGTGAATTTGAAAAATCGTCATAATTTTTTTGGAGCTTTGTTTAGTTGTCATAAATGTTTGTGCAAAGTTTCCATTTCGTATGTTTAACCATTCTTTAGAAAAAAATTAATAACTGAAAAAAACAAAATGGCGGCTGTGTGAGTAACTAAGGACTTCCGGACAATTTAAATATGATATTTAGGTATGTTTCTTACCCAGGAGCAATGCCCTAAAATATTGGTAGAGAGTTCCGGGACACCCTTTATATAGATAGATAGATATGAAACAGACAATTATTACTTTTACCTTAGACAAAAGAATTAAATATAGACCAACAGCAGGGCTGCGGTTAGCATATATTCTGGTGTTCATTGCTAGGAGTACCGTGTAGTTTTGGCACACACTGCTGCAGCGTTGCCATGACAAGTTGGTAGTTGGAGCCAGGGCTGCCAGGGTTGGAGAATTCTCCGGAATCCGAGAAGTAGGAGTTTGTTCCATTATTTTTCCGTGTTTTTAAAATTTCCAAAAAATGGGATTTTTCCCATTTTTATTACGGGATATCAGAATGTTTTTGCCGTTAATATTACGGGATCACAGAATTTTGCACTTTACCTATATAAAAATTTGGTTCTGATACGTTGGTAGCATTTTTTTTTGCAAGGCTGGTAGTGCTGCTGGTAGCAGACAGTGAGTCGACAACGGTCAGAGTATCGACGAACGCTGAGCACGCTCTAGCGGCACATCAGGGAACCTTCCTTTTTTTCGTCCACATAGCACCCGTGCCTGGATCGTTTACAGCAAAGCAAGGAGTGAGCCGGTACAGTACAAAGGTGAACTGTACTGATAAAATGTTATCGGCAGTGACCAGGATCCGAACCCACGACACTACTGCCTTGGGCCCGAAGTCCGCGACGCTACCAACTGAGCCACCGACTCACTTTGACAGTCTATATTTATTCTATTTGTCTATGCTTTTACTAATAATGAAAAAAAGAAGATTGAGTTGCCAGTAAAATTGTAACTCACCAAGTGGTATAATATATCAATCTTCAGAATCATTAGTCACATAAACTTTTCAGCTACAAAAAACAACAAAAGCTTGAGGACTTGACACTTACAAATTTGTATAAGTTACCGGTATGTCTGATATTCCTCTCATTTATATAAGCGATATGTATATCCTCTCATTTATATAAGCGATTTGTATAACCATTACTAATACTCACCTCCATTACAGCAATGTCGCTTGCGTACCTTGGCCTAGCATTTCTCCTCTATTTTTCTCATGTTCGAAGTGATGATGACGAGGATGTCAAAGGACCTCTGATGTTCAAGAACCCGGATGGCAGTCTCATGAATACAGTAAGTATAATACCGTTTTAAATCAATATTTGTCATATTGTGTTTTTACATCAGTAAGGGAATGGTCCAAGTTTTGGTTTTTATATAACATTAGATGGCCTGTTGACAGGGCTAATATCTGCATAATTTGAGTGTTAGCTCAATACAAACAGATAAGTGATACACCACTTATATAATATATGGGCCAAGGGCGGCTCTGAAAATTTGGCCTAGGACTGCAAGAAACCTAAAGCACTGACTGTAGTCTCACTGAAGCATGTACTGCTAGACTTCTTTGTGACTGCTCCACCTCATTGCAGTATACTGTGTTGTACAGAAGCAGCAGATAGAGGCTCATAAGTACAAGGGTGAATCACACACAGTGACAACTGATGATGGCTACGTACTGACTCTCTTCAGAGTCACCCCCGCCAAGCAACCTGCCACTGTAGTTCTACTGCAGCATGGTCTATTGGCCTCATCTGATTGTTGGGTGTCTGACAATCGTTCACTTGGTAAGTTGTTATGTTTTGTTGATTTGGACATGGTAGAAACAACTAAACTCTTGTACCCATCAGAAATGATATTGTTGAGAGAAATAGCATTAATTTTCATTACTCCAAATTTTGAATGCAAACATACATCAAGTTACTCACCTTAATTTACATTTCTTTATAAAACAATATGAACAGATAAAACTAGAGGTACAGTAAACAAAACATTATACCGTATCTAAATAAATCACATAGTAAAAGATTTGAAGGTATATGAAAAAGTAAAAAAAAAAAACTGAGAGCATAAGGACAAAAAACTCTTAGGTAAAGTTTAATCCTGTTAAAATGAAATAGTTTAATGTGTAATCTTAGCTAGGTTATATGTATAGGTTGATTTCTAAAATTTTAGATCAGTGTTTTCATAGGCAGGATTATTATTCTGAAAAGATGATTTTTAGGACATGAGCGGGATTAAAACGGGATGCGGGATAAAACAGAATTTTTGACTATGATGTTTTATTTTTTATTTTTTTATACTTAATTTTAGAGAATAACTAATCCCAATTGATAAAATTACTGTAGAAAAATATAATAGCAATTTTTAAACAACTATTAAACACTATAAGTGTAATATAACACTTGAGATTGGACAGAAAAAATCATGCGGGATAAAACGGAATTTTTAATTATTCAAAAGCGGGATTAAACAGGATTTCTCTTCCCAGTGAGCGGGATTATTTTTTTGGTCGTGTGGAATCACTGTTTTATATCCTGAAACTAAAACTTACCAAAAGCTAGGTTAAGGTTAGTATGGTTTTTGAGCCCGTTGTGAGAACTAGCATGACTTTATGGACTTCTATAAACTCTAGATTGAATAAATAGACTTAAACAGTATTTGAATTAGTCATTCATCTAAAAATGTATAGATTAAGTGATCGTTTTATAGCTGGGTACCTAATTAACAGGTAAAACATAATTTATGACTCAGTGTGAGGCAATGTAGCAATACATAGGTCTAAAAGAGTAATGTGAGGCTTTGCTAGCCAACTTGACTGTTTAGCGTTCACGTTGTCGGATGCTGGGTACGACGTGTGGATTAACAACGCCAGAGGAAACTGCTACTCTCGTAACCACACCAAGCTGAACCCAGACAAGGATAAGAGCTTCTGGAACTTCAGGTAACCCATACAACATGCTTTATAGGGTGGAGGGAGCGTGGACATACTATAAGTTTGGATTCCCCTGCCATATCACTTACAAGAAAATAAATTTATAAAAGGTTTGTGAATGTTTTTAATCAGGAGGTGGTGAGGACTACATGCAGTGCAACTACAAATACCAAATCTTATCTTACTAATATTATAAATGTGAAAGTTTGTGTGTTTGTTTGAAGTTCAATCACGCATTAACTACTGGACGGATTGGGCTGAAATTTGGTATGATGATAGCTCACATTCCCGATTAACATATAGGCATATTCTTATCTCAAAAATCCTTTCGGGCTCCACCCCAGTGGCTTTGTAGTTCCCAATGTTAACCTTACGAGTATTCATAGATGAGTGAACGAAGTGAACGAATCTATGTATCGTGTATAGCGGAGTTGGAGAAAAGTTGTCCGCTTGTGTGTGTGTGTGTGTGTGTGTTTGCGTGCGTGTGTTCGCACCAAAAACTCAAGAACCGTCGCACTTATAGCGTTCAAATTTTTCACAAATAATTATGACACCAGTGGGAAGACACCATTAAAATTCTAGACGATTCCGCTCAGTAGTAATTATAAAATACTTAAAAACATTTTTAAATTTGTCCCATAAGAATAACATTAGGAGCTACCTTCTTCTTCTTTTTATTTGTTTACGTTTTGCGACCAACAATTTTGTTGTCTACTTAAGACAGAGAGAACGACTTTTACTCTAAGCTCTTTCATTCATGGAGTAAACAGTTTGGCGTCTATGAATATATATCATTATAATTTCACAGCTTTCAGAATAATGGTGTTTAGGCTAATTAAATTTCGCAACTTTCAGATTAATAAATTGAACTTAAAAATATAAGTCGGCAGTTATATACCGTTTATGTTCAGTATTAAAATTCACCTTTAAATTAAAAATAATAATATGTATGTATTTAGAACAAAGCAGCTTTTTACATTATTCAATTTAATGTTGGCATTGAATATTAAATATTCAAAGATGTTGGTATATTTTTATACTAAAATGCTATGCAAAGGGGGGGGGGGAAACAGGTCCACGACGTAGAGAGTGGTAAAGGGAGCGGAAAGGTGAGCAATGAAAAGAAAGGAGTACGGAAACCCTTTATGACTGTTAAATTAATGTATCTGTAATACTTAAATGCTATGGAAATATAAGGAAACAGGTCGACGATGTAGGAAGTAGCAGTGGGGAGTAGGATGTAGTTGTGGGGAGCCTTTGTGACAGTTAGAATAATGTATCTGCAATTCTAAAATGCTATGGGAAGGGAGGGAAACAGGTCCACGATGTAGGAAGCGGTAAAGGAAGTAGTCAATGCGAGCAGTCCGGAGTGTGGGAAGCCTTTGTGACAATTAGAATAATGTATCTGCGATTCTAAAAATGCTATGGGAAGGGAGGGAAACAGGTCCACGAAACGTAGGAAGTGGTGAAGGAAGTAGTCAAGGCGAGCAGTCCGGAGTGTAGAAACCCTTTGTGAAAGTTAAATTAATCTATTTGAAATTCTAAAATGCCATAGGAAGGGAGGGAAACATGTCCACGACGTAGGAAGTGGTGAAGGAAGTAGTCAAGGTGAACAGTGCAGAGTGTGGGAACTCATTGTGACAGTTAGATTAATTTATCTGCAATAATAAAAGTGCTATTGGAAGGGAGGGAAACAGGTCCACGACACGTAGGAAGTGGTGAAGGAAGTAGTCAAGGCGAGAAGTCCGGAGTGTAGAAACCCTTTCTGGCAGTTAGATTAATGTACCTGCAATACTAAAATGCTATAGGAAGGGAGGAAAACAGGTGCACGACATAGGAAGTGGTAATGGAAGTAGTCGAGGCGAGCATTCTGGAGTGTAGAAACCCTTTGTGACAGTTAGATTAATGTAACTGTAATACTAAAATGTTATAGGAAGGAAGGGAAACAGGTACACATTGTCTGGTCCAATATTGTTTAGGTTGAATTGTATTAATCAATGTTTAATAGTAAATTGTTTTCAAAAGTACATTTTTAGTATTTTGTAATGGAAGTAGTCGAGGCGAGCATTCTGGAGTTTAGAAACCCTTTGTGACAGTTAGATTAATGTAACTGCAATTCTAAAATGCTATGGGAAGGGAGGGAAACAGGTCCACGACGTAGGAAGCAGTGAAGGATGTAGTCAAGGCGAGCAGTCCGGAGTGTGGGAACCCTTTGTGAAAGTGAAATTAATCTATTTGAAATTCTAAAATGCTATAGGAAGGGAGGGAAACAGGTCCACGACGTAGGAAGTGGTGAAGGGAGTAGTCAAGGCGAGGAGTCCGGAGTGTGGGAACCCTTTGTGACAGTTGGATTAATGTATCTGCAATAATAAAATGCTATGAGAAGAGAGGGAAACAGGTCCACGAAGTAGGAAGTGGTGAAGGAGGTAGTCAAGGTAAACAGTCCAGAGTGTGGGAACTCATTGTGACAGTTAGATTAATGTATCTGCGATAATAAAATGCTATGAGAAGAGAGGGAATCAGGTCCACGACATAGGAAGTGGTGAAGGAGGTAGTCAAGGTAAACAGTCCAGAGTGTGGGAACTCATTGTGACAGTTAGATTAATGTATCTGCGATAATAAAATGCTATGAGAAGAGAGGGAATCAGGTCCACGACGTAGGAAGTGGTGAAGGAAGAAGTCGAGGCGAGCATTCCGGAGTGTAGAACTCCTTTGTGATAATTAGAATAATGTACAGTATCTGCAATTCTAAAAATGCTATGGGAAGGGAGGGAAACAGGTCCACGACGTAGGAAGTGGTGAAGGGAGTAGTCAAGGCGAGGAGTCGGGAGTGTGGGAACCCTTTGTGACAGTTAGATTAATGTATCTGCAATAATAAAATGCTGTGAGAAGAGAGGGAAACAGGTCCACGACGTAGGAAGTGAAGAAGGAGGTAGTCAAGGTAAACAGTCCAGAGTGTGGGAACTCATTGTGACAGTTAGATTAATGTATCTGCGATAATAAAATGCTATGAGAAGAGAGGGAATCAGGTCCACGACGTAGGAAGTGGTGAAGGAAGTAGTCAAGGCTAGCAGTCCGGAGTGTGGGAACCCTTTGTGGCAGTTAGATTAATGTACCTGCAATACTAAAATGCTATGGGAAGGGAGGGAAACATCTCCACGACGTAGGAAGTGATAAAGGAAGTAGTCAAGGTGAAAAGTGCGTAGTGTGGGAACCATTTGGTGACGGTTAGATTTATGTATCTGCAATGAAGCAGTTGCAATACTTAAATGCTATGGAAAGGGTGGGAAACAGGTCCATGACGTAGTAAGTGGTGAAGGAAGTAGTCAAGGCGAGCAGTGCGGAGTGTGGGAACCGTTGGTGGCAGTTAGATAAATGCATCTGCAATACCAAAAGGCTATGGGAAGGGAGGAAAACAGGTCCACGTCGTAGGAAGTGGGGAAGGATTTGGTAAATGCGAGAAGTTCTGAGTGTGGGAACAGTTTGTGGTAGTTAGATTAATGTACATTCAATACTAAAATGCTGGGGGAAGGGAGGGAAACAGGTCCACAACGTAGGTAGTGGCGATGGAAGTGGTAAATTCAAGCAGTGCGGAATGTGGGAACCGTTTATGGCATTTAGATTCATTAGTTAGATGAACATTTATTGGATTTTTAATAATTTTTAGATGATATAATAGCGCTATCGTTGTCATAAATCATCATTGTAAGCAATACGATATTTTTTTGGAGATTCCTTACACTGTGCTATGGCAATTTATTTAAGTTAGATTAGTTCAGTTTGGCTTAGTTTTGTTTATGATAGGCCTTATAACAAATATGGAAATAGGCTTCATTTAATCAAAAGACGTTTTGTACAGGAACGATGGATTTACCTCCTATCGATAACTGTTGGAAATCCATTACGTATATTACCAATGACTTTTGGTTAATTAATGGACGAGAAGCTAGGATTGTTGTTGACTGAGATTTGGTTGATTTGCCCATACAAATAACATTATTGTGTTCACCAGTGACACCGGCAAGTAGGCTAGGTGTGGGTGGACTCTTTCATTATTGCGCTCATGTTCACTCATCCCGTTACGCGCAGAATAAGCGTACTACTAGTATTTAAAGGGAATTAAAGAATTTAGTCAGCTGGTTCAACTAAAAAAGTTTGTTCTATTATATGCAAAAGCATAAACAAGTTATAAGATTTACCAACAGGGTGCAGCACTTTTTTTGGCATTTATGAAAACAGCTAATTTGGACTCAGTTATGTTTATGTTTTTAATTTCATGAATAATTTGTGATGTTTTGCGAATTTTAATAATTTATTTTCCTATATTGTTTAGGTGAAATGATACAACTATATGGCTATTGTAGATGTGTAATACTATAGTATACTGTACCGTAAAAAGAAGCAAATTTTATCAAACTGTGTCCTCCACCATAGCAAATGCTAAGCTTGAGTATAACTGCAATAAGCATTCATACTTATGCCAACTCCGTACGAAGAACGGGTACTCTGCTAGTAAATTAATAATTAATAATTAATTGACAGCTGGCATGAAATGGGGACAAAAGATGTACCTGCAGTGATTGACTACATCCTCAAGACCACAGGCCAGAGCAAGCTACATCTGATAGGTCATTCGATGGGAACTACCATGAGCTTTGTAATGACCTCTCTCAAGCCAGAATACAACAACAAACTGATGTCACTGCAGGCTCTCTCACCAGCTGTGTTCCTCAGCAAAGTGACGGAGATGATCGGTCCCGATGGCATGGTGGAGGCAATGGCTGTTCAGTACATGGTGAGTACCTCTGTTGACTTGTCTTGATAGCGATTAAATATTTCTTTTGATTTGTTTTAGTACTATTTTAAAGTTTTTGAAAAGCTAATGGTCCAAATCCTGGTTTTATTCCTATCTATCATTAACATTTTGTTGGATAGCATCATAGATTTTTAGCCCAATGACAAATGGTACTGGGTTAACTTATGTCAATTTTGTATAAAACCCTAGTTTGCAATCTGTACAGTATTTATATAATAACAAACATACGAAGGCTATTTAGAAAGAAAGGAACGTTTCTTTTTGATGTCCATAGGTGCACATTGATTGACTTTCTAGTACACATGTGTTCACCTCCTCAATGACTGTTCAGTTGTAGTTATCACAACAAAAGTGTCAATAATCTTTTAAAAAGTGCTAATGTATGTGACTTTGTCATGTACTCGGGGTGTCAAGCAGTTTACTATTTTATTTCTGTGGCCCTGATAAAAATATGTTCACAAAGTGTCAGTCTGGTGTCCAAAATACCACACTTAGGTTCTCAAAGGGGAAAACTGTTGAACTGTTGAAAACTGTTATCAGGACCAGATCAAGGCAGCAGATAAGTGGGAGATGTTTCCTCGTAAGGACTTTGCCACCAACAACAAAACACAAGTCACCTGCGATGACATAGAAGAGAACATGGTAGACATGTGCAAGGACAAGATGGAGGTAAGTGTGCTTCGTTGTTCAAATCTCCGTAAGAAACCTTTTCTCTCTTTTTCTTTCATTAGCTTTTTAGATATAAGGATGAATGTTGAATGTTCTAACTTGTACAGTTGGATTAATTACCATCTTAAATCATAGTAGTTTTTCTTTGTAAAAGTAAAGTGATGTTTCTAATGATTACCTTAAGATGGATCAACCACGGTTATATGGTAAAAAAATCATGAAAATGGTATTTTAAAAGGCTACCTTTAATGAAAATTGTAACCTGATGGAGGTTAATAGTATTACTTTTTTATGGTATATATCTGCAATTGACATATTTTAAACGTTGTAATAGGTGTAATTAAGTTTGTCTGCTATAAGTGAACAGTAATATTTAATGTCTTGTTTATACTGTGGGTTATATGGTGTAAGATTGCTTTAATAATGTCTTTAATTATTTGACAGATGGCTCATGAGATTTTGGGCGGTGCCTATTTTCCAGCTGGTCAGTCTGTAAAGACAGTCATTCACTTCCAACAGATGGGTGTGTTAGGTAAGATTTTTACAAATTTCAGTCTAAAATATCAATTGATTTTCTCTTCTTTACATTCTGTAGAGACCATAAAGGATAATGTTGTGTTCGTGGGTTGAAATGGACTTAGGAAGTGGACTGATAAATAAATACGATAGTTTACATGTTTAAAACACGGCTACAAACGGGTGGTTAAGGTTTGAGTTTTGGAGGTAGACTGGCTGTTGTAGGGACGGACGGACATGGACGGTGGTGTGATGTAGGTGGAGAGCGGATCAGGTGATGTTTGTAGCCAATGAGATTTATTGAAAATCATACGATTCACAGTGGCGTGATGTATAAGGAAATCATAGCTACAACGGATATTAATATTCTTAAGATATATTACAATTTCCTCCCTTTTAAATTTGAACAAAACACTGCAAAAAAATGTGAACTTTGAATATATAGTCCATTGGTGGTAGAGTGATATTTCTTGACGCTTAACCTAATCAACAATCAGAAAATGTATGATAATCATTGGGTATAACATAGTATTTAACATCAAGAATCATGGTAAACAGCAAACACACACACAAATACAAATTGGTAAAATATTCATAAGTCTAATCTATTTACAGGTTTCCTAACGCGTTCAGGATTGCGTCGTGGTTGACTTTGACAGGTGTTATTACTATTACTACTATCACTACTACGCACAGCTGATTTTACGCACGCGGATACAGGCATAGTACTATGTGCGGGGGAAGGGGGGAGTGACATCCTGGCTGGTGGTGTAGATCGCCACGCTGGAGAAGCGGGGAGTGACCTCCAACCATTTGCTGGGGTGGTTGCCATGCCAACCGGCTTGCTGACTACGTCCTTGGTGGGGGAAGAAGTACAATGCCTCTGGTATTGCGGCGTTGCCAACTCTGGGTCTGAGCTAGCGGATGTAGGGGTTGCCACGTTTCTATGTACAATATTTTCAGCAAAACCCGTATCTCTGTGCAGCGGACTGTTATTTAAACCGATCAGCTGATCTATGTGATGCTTAGTAACAATGCCTGAACTTAACTCTATTTCATACATAACAGGACTGATTTGCTTGTTTACAGTACCCTGTAACCATTTGTTGTTTGACCTGTAATCTCTCATCAAAACAGTTTGACCTGGATAAACTATCCTAGTGCTCTTTGACTTAAAACTATTTTTACATTCTTCTTGTTTCTTATTTACAAAAAGTGTTATGTTTGGTCTCAATAGATCAAAACGAGTGCGCAGTTTCCTACCAAACATCAGTTTACTGGGTGTTTCATTGGTAGTTGAGTGAACAGAGTTTCGATAATCAAATAATATTCTACTCAAGGCTACGTCAACATTTACATTGACATGAAAAGCGCGCTTTATTTTGTCTTTAGCAAGCTTAACGCTGTTTTCAGCTTGCCCATTACTTTGAGGATGGTAAACAGGACTGAATGTATGTCTGATACCGTTCATTTCCATGAAATGTTTGAATTCAGCTGACGTAAATGGTGGTCCATTGTCAGAGTGTAGATTAACAGGTAATCCAAACCTACTGAATAATTCTCTTAAAAACTGTATAGCTAGTTTTGCGGGAGTTGAACTAACTTCACCTACTTCTAACCATTTTGAGTGAGCATCAATAACGATCAAATACATTTTATTTTTTAAAGGCCCTAGGTAGTCAACATGAATGCGTTCCCAAGGAGCGTATGGGTAGTGCCAAACGTGTAATTGGCTTTTGGACGGATTGTTCCGTTCCCGAAGACAGGAAGAACAGCTGTTAGCTATGTTGGTGATATGTTCATCAATACGCGGCCACCAGACATAGGATCGAGCAACTGACTTCATTTTCACGATGCCTAAATGGCTAGAGTAAAGCTCTTTAAGTACATAGTCCCTTAAAGTTACTGGTACGACTACTTTATAACCCCAAAAAATAATCCCAAATTCAACTGTCAGTTCGGTCTGTCTTTGGAAATACGGAGCAAGTTCTTCGTTTCCCTCTGGAATGACATTAGGCCATCCATTTACAATATAACCAAATATTTTACTTAAAACTGGGTCTTTCTGTGTTTCTGACTTTACATGTTTAAATGTCAAAGGTAGTGAACTCTCCTGTAAACAATGTAAATAAGTACCTTGCCACGCAAACTCATCAGTAGCATTGTTGTGATTAACACTCAACGGCAATCTAGATAACATATCTGCGTTGTTTTGATCCGATTTAACATATTGAATGTCAAATTCTTAACCGGACAAGAACATTAAAGCATATCTTTGCATGCAACCAGCAGCAAAAATAGGCAATCCCTTTTTTGAGTCAAAAATACTTAGAAGCGGTTTGTGATCAGTATTCAAAACGAACTTTCTCCCATACAAATATTGATTGAATTTTTTGACTGCAAAAACAATAGCAAGAGCCTCTTTTTCAATTTGTGAATAGTTTCGCTCAGCTGTTGAGAGTGTGCGTGACTGATACGCTATCGGTTTCTCTACGCCATCTGGTGAGACAATACTTAACATGGCGCCTAGGCCTACTGAGCTAGCGTCTACGGCTAATTTTAAAGGTAAATTGGTGTCATAGTGAGCCAAAATAGGGGCATTAGAGAGTAGCTCTTTTACCTTGTCAAAAGCTGCAATACAATTCTTATCAAAATTGAAGGGTGTGTCCTTTTTGAGCAGGTTGTACATAGGACTTAATATAGTGGAACAATTAGGAATGAACTTCGAATAGTAGTTAATTAGACCTACCAAAGCTTTGACTTCTGTCACTGTTTTAGGAACTGGAGCGTTTTTTATAGCTTCTACCTTAGATTCGGAAGTGTGTAGACCTTGTTTGTCAATACAGAAACCTAAATACTCTACTTTAGGTGCAAAAAATGTACATTTACTCTTCTTAACGGTAAGACCATTTTCTTTAAGACGTCTGCAAACTTCCCTAAGCTTTTGATAATGTAATTCATCATTTACATCTGTAATCAAAATGTCATCTAGAAAGCAAACTACATTAGGTAAATCTTGTAAACATTGTTCAATTCTGTACTGAAATATGCTAGTTGCGGATGAGATTCCGAACGGCATTCTTTGATAACTAAACAACCCTTTATGCATACTTATGGTACATAGTTTTTTAGACTCTTCATCTAATTCTAGTTGCATATATGCTTGGCACAGATCTATCTTACTAAATTTTTCACCTTTCTGTAAACTAGTAAACAAATCATCTATTCTGGGGATAGGATACTTTTCTACCTCTAGACTTGGGTTTAACTTAACCTTAAAATCTCCGCAAATACGGATTCCACCGTCTGGTTTAAAAACTGGAACTATGGGAGTGCCCCAATCAGAACTTTTGACTGGGAGAAGTACACCTTCTTCTGTTAACTTCTCAGGCTGTTTTTCTACTTTAGCTTTAAGTGAAAAAGGTATAGACCGTGGCTTAAAGTACCGAGGTGTGGCGTTAGCTTTCAATTTTAATTGAACTGGTTTACCTTTGTATTGACCTAATTTATCAGTGAAAACCTCGGGAAATTCTTTAAACAATTCTTTGGTTAGTTCAGTGCAATGTTTACTATGTACAGTTTGATCAATACTAGCGTTATTATCAATGCCAAAAATTTTATCTTTGAAAGATATTTCCACACCAAGGCTCTGAAGCCAATTACGTCCTATCAGAGGATGAGCTCCCTTCTTAATTACATACAACTCTAGACATTTGCTTACTCCTTGATACTGCACATCAACTTCAATTTTCCCTAACGGAACGATTGGTTCATTTGCGTACGAACTCAGAGATAAGTCAGTGGATAACAATTTACAATTGTTGAGATTTTCATTGTAAAAGTTTTCACTACATACACTTACGCTTGCGCCTGTGTCAACTTCAAAATGAATTGGTTTTCCCTGAACTGTTAATTCTAATTTAATAGGGCTTACTTTAGCATTTTCTACTGTACTTTCATTCATTTTGAATAAATTTGGAATATCTTCCTCATAGCTTTCAGCTTTAGGGTTATCATCGCTTGCACTTGTTACTGCTTCTACATAATTATGCCTACTGTTATATCTATTACTAAAATGATGAGAAGGTTGTTTTTGTGACTTACTCTTAGATCGGCAAACCTTAGCAATGTGATTCTTCTTTCCACACGCGTTACACGTTACACCTAACAATCGACACTGATTACGTAAATGAAATGCACTTCCACAACACGAACACTGCACTTTGTTGTCGTGCGAAGAGCTGCTTTTGGGGTGATTGCGGTGACTTGTAGGTGCGGTGACGGTGACACTTGATGGTGCGCTGCTTCTGCCTGGTACTCTGCGATGGTGTGACGTCATCTTTTGTAGTCGCTCGACGTTGCGGCTCCCGTTGATCGACAAGGCTGCGGCATTTTTCTCAGCGGCTTCTGCTGACGAGATGATTTTGACGGCTTGGTCCAAAATTAGGCTGGTTTCTGCTAACAATTTTTATTTAGTCGATTCGTTCCTGATTCCGGAGACTAGACGATCCCTCAGGTAGTTGTTTAAAGATGCGCCGAAATCGCAATGTGTAGACATCTTCCTTAACTGCGCGATGTATTCCGCAGCTGATTCTCCCTCGTGCCGAATTCTTTTGCTGAACTTGTATCTCTCAGCGATGAACGATGGTTTCGGGTAGAGATGATCCTTAATGATAGTCACTATTTCCTTGAAACTCTTCTTCGATGGTACGTCGGGCGTGCACAGATCCCGTAGTAAACTATACGTTTTAACACCAGCAACAGTCAATAAAGTGCTAACCTTCTTCTCTTCCTTAATATTGTTACATTCGACGAACAGTTCAAATCTTTCTATGTATGAAGACCACGTTTCGGAGTTCTGGTCGTACTCGCCGATGCTGCCAATTATCCCGGCCATGCTGGAGTAACCCGACACTTCACTGTCTTCAAACAACGGTAGTAAGTCTAAGTACACTTCGTCGTCCAACATTCACAAACGCGTTCAAAATTTACATTACGCGGCACAATCGAACAGTTGCATTGCGCGGTATGTAAATTTGACCGACCTCGTCGCCATTTGTTGTGTTCGTGGGTTGAAATGGACTTAGGAAGTGGACTGATAAATAAATACGATAGTTTACATGTTTAAAACACGGCTACAAACGGGTGGTTAAGGTTTGAGTTTTGGAGGTAGACTGGCTGTTGTAGGGACGGACGGACATGGACGGTGGTGTGATGTAGGTGGAGAGCGGATCAGGTGATGTTGTAGCCAATGAGATTTATTGAAAATCGTACGATTCACAGTGGCGTGATGTATAAGGAAATCATAGCTACAACGGATATTAATATTCTTAAGAAATATTACAGATAATAACATCTTAGAAAATTTAGTCATCTATGTTAATATTGCTATCATTAGCTGGACATCTCATTTTATTAATGACTAGGTGAAACCCGTCGAAATCGACGGTTAAGGCTTACGCTAATTCATCTAACTGCGATAAATTGAGTGAAATTATACATATTTTGAGCATTTAGCATTGTTTAAGGATGAATAACTGTAAAAACAATAATGATATTAATGAATTAATTGCGTTAGTTACCAAATATGGTTGATCATTCGATGAATAAAATATTTCCCATACCGTACGTCATTGAAGATAATATGTTATATGATACTTCTTCCTTTGGAAGAACCTTTAAATAGTATTAAAATCGTATTGGTGGCTCTTTTGAAGTTAAACACTTTTGTGATTTCATCAGTGTAATGCAGATTAATCTATGATTTTATTTGAAAAAAAATATCTGTTTGTTGGGAAGACATTTAATTTCATTCTTCATTTAATCTCATTTCAAGACACGTTCTAACTTCAATGGGATATACGTTACAGTATAAGTTTGTTTGATTTTTCCTTCGTCACGTCGCGTCAGTTCATATCGTACTTATGTGCCAATGAATCCTCTAGCACAGTTTTGAGATATTGGTTGTGGGGTTACTGTTAAAGCTGGAATTCCTTGACATGGGGGATGTCAGTTAGTTGTCCCAGCCTTATCAAGCACATAAAGTTGTCAATATAATCTCTCTAGGGAATGTTAGGTGTAGGGGAATATACTTGAAGTGAAGTTGGCTTTTATTCTTGAACTGTTAGGGGCCTCCTCATTTATATGGTCGTGCGGCTTCATTGGCAACAAATAATGCAAATGACATAGCAATGAGGCATTTCCAAAAAGCAAAAATAATGTAAATTGGCTGTCACGAAAATATTGACGTTTACATGCATTGTTAATCAACGTATCTTATAAAAGGGTGATGTGATCTAGTTTAAAAGGAATATGACCTTTCTGTCTGACAGTAGCTGCTTAAATAGTATTTACTCATTGGGCCATTTTTTTACAGCCAAAATGTTGTGTTATTTTCAATAATGTTACCAACCCAGTGGGCCACGGTCCGTAATATAGGCCACTGCAAATAATTTGTCAAGATAGGTACCATTTTAGGCAAGGTTTTTGTGTTTGGATGTTATTATTAGACACGGTAAGAGCACAATAAAATTATTCTGCAGATGAATTTTCTGTTGGAGAAATATAAACCGAATTATAAATGTCACAATGCGAGTTTGAGCATTTTGTAACTATATGGGTAAGTAAATAGATTTTTTTAGACTGCTGCTCAGTGCACTTTAAGAATATATATTTTAGAGATAAATTAAATGATTTTTGTTGCTGAGTATCGCTAGTAAACATGGACAACCCATTTCGTTAGTCTAATAACATTCAAAGGCTCTCTAAGAGTTCAAGTTCTTATTTGTATACATATCTATATTATGTTTTCACTAAGCTGGATGAATACATCAAAGTAACCTCTCTGAAAAGTGTGCAGTATATTGCAGTATTCCAGCTTAATGACTTTCTAAATCCTACACATATTTCTACGTAAATATTGTAAAATTGTTTATCCAATTGCTGTAAACCACTATTAATTTAACAAAATATGGACACGGCTCAACTGGGCACCGTTCCCTTCTGCACTTGTATTACTTTGTATTGTATTACTCAATCGAAGATTTTTCCATTGATTGAAAACATGTATGACAATAATATGATGATCTGTCAAGAATAATGTGATAAAATGTAGGGAAAGGTGTGAAAAAGGCAGTCACCAACCCGAAAAATATATATAAGATAGTTCAATAAGAAATAATTGTAAGAGTTACTGTGATAAAAGGATTTTCCACTGATTTCGTAATGGAACTTTACATTTCAACACGTGACATGATACAGAAAATCAATTTTAAAATCGAAAATAACATTGCAAATACTAAATTTGGACAATTCAGTAACTCCCAATAAATGTGTGTTGTTTAAAACACAATTTTAAAATTAACAGCTGTTTCATTAAAAAGTATTATCCACATGGCCAAAATGTAAACAAATCTGCAGAGGGATCTTTAAAGGCTTCTGGGGCAGAGCCCTAAGGGAATTTACTTCGTTTTTCTTTTGATAACTCATTTACAGACCAAGACCTTTCTTTGGACACCTCTATCAAGTTTCTACGCCCAGCGGTTCTCTCAAATTAGTGGAGACAAAGTTTCCAATTAAATATTTAGATTCTCCCATGTTAATCTTATGTGAGAAAAACCAACTTTGATGGAAGGTCCTGCCCAAACTAATAAAGATATCAAAAAATGAAAAACACTTTGCAAAACTACAGATCACGGCCATTGTTTTGACATTTTAATCATCAAAATCGGTCCAAAAATGAGGGAGGGGTTCTGTTTACAAAAATCGGCTTAGCGTATTATATATATAGATGTTTGGCAATTAAATTCAACATGAAATACCTGTTGGCACACAAGGTAGCTTAAAAGTATAGCTATTTCAACAACAAAAAATTTCATCTTTTAATTTCCAAGTGGTATATTAATATACCATAGTCAGCCAAGAAGAAGTTAATAGGCTACCATTCATATTTGCAGTGGCAAAGTCATAAATGTTTGAGTCCTGAACATCTCTAATATTATTAATTCGTCACTCTATATTTTATGAAGTCTTTTGTTTTTATCATGCTAAATTTATTGGGAGCATGAATTAAAATGGTTTTCCAACATATTCTTCTACTTATCTGGTTTAACTTTTTTCGTCTTTTTCACTTTTAGCTTCTCTAAAACAACATTGTGTCACTGAATGCTTGTGTCTTAGGTAACATGAACTATTTTAAGTATGACACACCTGAAGAGAATGAGAAGATCTATGGGTCTAAGGAACCTCCATCTTATACCACAAACTTCAAGACTATCAGTGTACCTACAGTGTTATGGTCAAGTGAATTTGACAGCTTGATCATGTATAAGGTAGACCACCTCTCATAATATTTTGATACTGAGATAGTTGTTGACATGATATTAAATAATTCTAAAGCTTAATAAGTCATCCCATCAGTTTGGCTTGGTTAAAAAGTCTGCATTAAAAAATGAGTAATTTACATCACAGCAACCTGTTGATGACATTTAAACTATGTCCTTTTTTATTTAAAAATTGGCGATAACCTTAAATGGGAATGAAATGTCTAGTTATATCAACAGTCAAAGGTACAACAATAAATGTGCTAAAAACAAACAAGTATGACTTTATTGTTATGGATAAACTTAGGCTCCAGTTTAGATTTATTTTTAACTTACTCATAAACTCTGTTCAAAAATAGAATGTTTTTTTTTCAATAAACTATTAAACTGTAATTTTTTGCTCTAATTGAAGACGTATATACTTTGAAATAGTGATTTCAAGTAATATTAAAACATTGGTTACATATAAATTAAAATAAGAAAATTACGACACTCAATGCAGTTTACAAGACTTTTTCCTTTGTGCTTTATTGTTGTTTGAAGTTCATTGTTGACGTAAAAAACTTTGTGTACAATTTCTATCATGATTTAGCAAAAAGGTTTTCTACTATGTTGATTGAGAATAGGAGATCACGTCATTCTGTTTTCAAAATGATTGCCTTAATTAAGGCATTGATTTTACTGATTCAATTCTAATGATAATTTATCTCTTCAGTTCCGTTTGGTTAATGAAGTATTTAAATGTTTAGTCACTCTTTTTATTGGTTAACTGATTATTGTTCAGTTCGGTAAGACTGTTCATGCACAGCTTGTTGTTAATTACAATTTCTTAATAACATTTCCCATTCCAGGATGTAGATGACCTGAAGCCTCTTTTGGGTAATTTAGTCGCTGACAACAGAATCCCGGAGGAGTGTTTTGACCACTTGGCCTTTGCGTTCGCAAGGAAAGTCGCATGTTTGCCCGTCAGGGAAAATCTCTACAAGAACATCCTCGCTTCTCTGAAGAAGTTTGAGTAGAATTTGAAATGGCTTCTCTCTTACAAATATATGTTTTCTGACCTAATATGTTTAAGTATTGTCATAATTTATACAATTCCTTAAACACCAATTTTATGGTTACATTTTGAGAATCAAATCTAATTTACAATCTCAATTACAATACTATTTCCTAAAATGCTGGACATTTATTTTAGAAAGTTATTAAAAAAAAATTTCTTTACTAAGGTTCAGTTAGTTGTTAACAATCAAGTTAAGCACTTATAGTTGTCAAAGATTTATTGGAAAGCAAAATCCTATTTTCTATCCAATAATCAATGTTAAAAAGATTTTGGTTCAGCTTAAAACATGAATTTAGTCATGAAGTGTTACTGTTTATCAGATATCTAACCATTTTAACACTTTTTATCTGCATTACTGAATTCCAGACTTACAATAAGGTTTAGATAGGGTTCGGATGGATAATTTAACCAACAGTTACAATGATGAGGTATTTTGTTTTTTTTTACCTAACCCACCATGTTAAACTTCCCTATCCCAAGCGTGATGTATACAACTTCTTTACTTCACGAGTGATGTAAAGTTGAAAAAAATCACTCGGTGAGGTAAATAAGATTGAGTGCTTAGCTTAATAAAATATACCTCTATGGAGCCAACGACGTTCAACGTTAGAAATCAGCTGTGCGCTTAAATTTTATTGTTATTCAAGAAGAATTTTCCTAACCTAGCTTTTGTTTGTAAATGAACACTGTTAGAAGATGAGTGAAATGGATAATGAAAAATATTGTTCGTAACCTCCTGTATTTTGTTGGTCAGGTAAAATCTTGTACATTACACGTTACGCAAGAGCTTGTTTACATCACTTAGGAGAATTATGCAACTCGCGTGATGTAAAAACGCTCTTACTACACTTGTAATGTAAATAGCTATTAACACTTTGAAATGTACCAAATTATATAAGCAGATGTAGGTATTTTTAGCCAAAGGGATTTAACTTCAAGCCATTTAATAATTAACCAAGTGAGAAATGGTCCTTGAAGAAATGTCATTAAAAGTACTGACCACCATAAAATCTCAACGGTCTATCTTGCCGTTGAGTCACATTATCTGAAAGCACCAATAAGCTGTTAGTGTGTCGTTTACAGCCAATAGCATGGAACGACGCAATACTGATCAAAACTAACAAACACTTTTGATCCAAACAGCAATCAAATTACAAGATATACTCCAGATTTTACCATCACCTTTTATTATTAGAATGTAATGGCTAGTAAATGTAACAAGTAACAAGTGTAAAAAGCTTATGACTTTTCAAAGTACACATCTTAATATGATTTTTCGAAGTGCTACATGCTACTATTCGTACAGTGTGTTTAGTCATTGTTTCAACATAATTTTACAGGTTGTTCATTCTGTTGGTAACTCCTGAAATTAAAACTTCTTCTTTTCTTGTTGTTTAACATTTTTTTATGACAAAATTCTCTTCTTCATAGGAAAGTAAAATTATGACAAAAAGGAGAAGGGTTGCCATCAGTCTCTGCCAGTTGAGAGTGGTCTGGTCAAGAGAGGTTATGATCAAGAGTTGAGACATCTTGAGTCTGAGTGTCTCTTACAGCTGGATACTTGTCTATTCTACATTATAAAATATCTTTACCTACGACCGTTTTTTAAAGTAGCCATTTCAGTCCAGTTCTTAGAATTGAAAAGTTTCACTTTACAGCTGTTTACTTTCATATCCGCATAGTTTCATTTCATATCCGCATAGTTTTCTCATATCCACACAGGTAACGGACCAATGAGGTTCAAGTATTGAGAGAAAAGAATTAAAATTGTAATTCTTTGAACGTCAACTAATCAGCTGATCAGCTGATCAGTTGACCAATTTAATTGTTGTTCCGACTTGTTCATGTTGATACTCGCGTATTCTTAATTAAGTTGGTGGAAGTCCAAAAATAAATGAAATATTTGCCGAATTGTACCTGATACAATATTATTTATGGTAAGAATGCTGCTAGCAATGTAATATTTAACGAAGTTTAACAAACACGTAATTACAGGAAATCAGCTGATTATACAACAAGTCGTTGCATCACTTTCAGTGGCAATGACAATACACGAAAACATAACCTCTCTCAAAAGTTATCAGTAGTTATTGTTAGTAATTGAATCCAGATTGATAGTAATTAAAAAACTGTCGTAGGTAAAGTAGTGTACGCAACTCGCGTTAATAGTCTTTACGCAATCGTTGCGTAAACTACTATTACCTACGACCGTTTTTAAAGTAGCCGTTTCAGTTCAGCTCTTAGAATTGAAAATGTTCACATTTTAATAGCATTGTTTACATTCATAACAGCATAGTTTCACTCATAACAATACGGTAACGGACCAATGAGGTTCAACGATTGAGGGAGAAGAAGTAAAATTGTAATGATTCGAACTTCAATAATCAGCTGTTCAGGCCAATTTAGTCGAGTGGTGCAATTAGTGTTTGGTACAATGTTTCATTGCATCACTGTTGGTGGCAATGGGAGGTTATAAACGAAAACATCACCTCTCTTAGAAGTTATGAGTAGTGTTTTTTTGTATTAAAACACTGTCGTAGGTGAAGTAGTGTACGCAACTCACGTAAATAATGTTAACGGCACTCCTATCTTTACGCAACCATTGTGGAATAGTATATTACGTTACTAGTCCTGAAAATAGCTGTTTACCGGACGAGTATGGACGGTCCCGTGCGATATGAAGTCGAGTAGGCTACGGGATAACCATACAAGTCCGGTAAACACACTTTGGAAGAGAGACGTACGATATTTTATGCCATACTACTCTCACACTCACCTTGGATTTTTATTTGGCTTAAAACACTCTCCTTCATGCGCTGCTGCTGTAAGTAAGTACAGTAGAACCTCTTTAATCCGAACCCCCGTAATCCGAACGTCCACTAATCCGAACCCCTCATTGCTGTACTCTATACACAGTACAGCAGTTCTTTATTGTAGGCCTATACTGTATTTAATGTACATTACTGTTTATTCACCATGTTTACTTCTGTATTGAATAAACCTTGTATTTTAATTTATAAAACATTTTTTTCACTTTTCCCGAAATAATTTAGATCAATTTTAGCCATGTTTTAGCTATTGTTATGTAAAAGCAACAATATGTTCTGTAATCCGAACTATTCACTAGTCAGAACTACCCCTGGTCCCAATTAGTTCGGATTAAAGAGGTTCTACTGTATGATTATAATAGGTTTTTGTTTTTTTTTTTTCTGGAATTGTAGTTGTAATGGAATTGTTTTTCCCATTACTTCAGGCTAGACCTAGGGGTTGCGGCATTATCACTTAGATAAAATCCATTGGTTACTTGGCGGGATTTGAACCCGGGACCTCTGTGACTGAAGTCCCGCGATCTAACCACTACACCAGCTCTCTCCCCTATAGTATAGTATAGAAGATAGAAGTATGAAAACAGATGTCACTTGAACATGGTTAGGTATTTAACTCTAGGGCGAATCTTAAAATAATATCTTTACTTGTATGTATGCACATTACCCAGAGTTTTCACTAATATTAGTACTCTAAAATATAAATAGAATATTCATAATTACTCTTAAAATTACACTTCTAATGATAACTAGGTGAAACCTGTCAAAATCGATGGGAAATACCATACAAAATTGATGAATTCGTTGAATATAATACTTCTGGTTCTTTTATTGGCAACATGTCGCAAACATTTTTCCAAATATATTCAGTTCAAGAAATGAGTACAACAAAAAGAGTTACACGAGTTTAAGTTATTGCCTTAGTTGAGGTAGCTATATTTCATTCACACATTATATGAAGTTTTAATATACTAGGTGAGATATCACTGTCTAACTCCGTAGCAATCAAAAGTGTTATTGAGCACTAAATCTAAGAATCCAGAAGTAAAAGACAAACCGGTGTCAATATAGCTCTGGTTGACAAATAGCTTCATCTCATGGTGGGAAGAGATCGTGCAAATTAAACTCGACTTACACCAGACACTTTTAATAAATTTTTACTTAAATGTCTTTATTTATGTGTTTTGAAATGAGGGCATAGTAGTAGGATTACAATGATGTCAATTCAGCAAAAGTTGTTTGTAGATGTTGTGTAATATGACTACGATCATACTTCATCACGATTAATAAAATGATTTTTAGTTAGTTGTGGTATTTAAAACCTGATTCCATCCTCAGGTAGCCTACCTGTAACATCATAAGATTTTATTCTAAATCCAGCGGTTACTGGGAAAATGAAAATATAATATTATGACATACACCACTAAATCTATCACAAAGTTAAATCAATTGAAAGATATCCTAGATGGTATAAAGATATACTTCTCATGAAAATGTATTTTATTTTATCCTTTTACATTTACATTAAGAATCCGTATATGTATCCGTATATGTGCATTAAAAATCCTTACACCCTAGCATAAGGAGAAAGTTTTATGTTTATAATTTTTTGAAGGAAATATTTAATTTTGTGCTCCCTAATGTGGTGTTTAGTGATATCTTATGTGTTTTTACAAATTTTGGCCAAAGAATAAATTCTGTCATAAAAATTTAACTTGTTTTTAAAAATACACTGAACCAATCTTTTGACTTAAGCCCAAACCAAAATGATTATTCATCTTTATATATGATTGACATAAAAAATATATAATAATAACAAATAAAATAATATATTTCATCACTAGGTCTTATAGTGACTCTTTTTGACCCGAGCTCAAGTTTTACAATCAAGGCAAAGCCAAGGTCAGAAAATAACTGAGGGTTCAAAAGACACTTTTAGCCCTTTTGATCAACTATAGCCTGTTTTTCGTCATATTGCACCATTATTTGAACAAATTATGTTACAAAACCAAAATAGTTTTCATTTCAAGATAACCTCTCAAAACTACTCCTCACTTGTTTTCAATTTAATTTACTAATGGAAACAATTAAGCAGCTTTTTGGTAAGGGATTCAATCAATTCGTCTATTATTATGATTGTGTTAGTGTACAACTGTACATTATAGTATCGA